CTGTCTGTCTTCAGTCCTGCCAGCACAGGGGTTTAACCCACTGCGCCACCGGGGGCTCCCATCAGATCAGATAATCCAGATTATCTGCTTTGAACTGGATTATATGAGTCAACACTGCCATATAATCCGGCTCAAAGAAGATAACCTGGATTTTATATGGCAGTGTAGAAGTGGCCAAAGAGTAGGGGATTGAGTAATGACACATCCAGCCTTCTTCTTATAAGTGGGGATTCTATAGGAGGAAACTGCAAGGCTACAAAAAGAGGTCTGGATATCTCATCACTCTCCGGCAACTCAGAATGGCTGTGGGCCCTTCCACACTGCCCTTTATCCCAGGATCTGATCCCAGATTATCTGCTTTAAACTAGAATATATGAGTCCCCACTGCCAGATAACTTGGGATAAACAGATATTCAGGGATCAGATATTGGGATAAAGGGGCAGTGTGGAAGGGCCCAGAATTAGAGGTAAGAGGTCCATGCAGCTTAAAAGGAAGATCCCAGAGGTAATTTTTTCCTGTGGCTGAAACCTCCAAGGGCCCTGATGTCTAGATGACTGAAACACTTTGCAAGATAAACTGTGTCATATCAGCAGTGCAGAGAGTAGCTATCATTTCTGCTGCCTAATTTAGGGAGCAGACATCTTGCCCTTGTACCAGCCCCAGATCTCAATGGCCTTCTTTGAGATTCTGCTCTAAATGCCCTTGAAAAGTTTTTAAAAAGGCTTCAGATACTGATAAAGGTGCTATAAAAATTTCCAGCACCCTGATTCACTCAGTTCCCAGGCCAATTAAGACTTAAAGGTCTATCAAAATGAAACCAAGCCTCATTAGCACCCAAACAATGGCATGATGATGATGATTACATGGAGATATTCAACACGATGCCAAAATAAAACCCAAGGCAAAGTTAGCTCATGTCTCTTAGGTGGTCAAAACTCTGCTCCTCTCACTGTACTTCCAGGAGTGAACTAGATGTTATTCCAACACCCGTTTCCTGGATTGGGGTATTGCCAGAATCACTCTCCCACACATCCACACAAGAGACCAAAGCATCTAATTTTTCTGATCTAAAAATACCCTTTCTTCCCATTCCAAAGCTAAGCAGGAGAAGATGATTTCATCATACCAAAGGAAGTTTCCCAGGCATTCTTGGATGGAAACATTAACTCCCCCTATACATTATGAGCTGACTTTGCACACCCCACTACAGAAAAAGCAGCTACCGAAGGCTACAGTCTTCCTTGACTAGTAAATGCCTAGTTCTCATGTTATGCATCCCTACATACAATATGTGTATGGGATGAATCTGAGAGGTATCATTCCTCGTGAACTCAATGAGAAATTTGTGTACCAAAAGGCCAACTACTCTGAAGGCGAGGATACTAACTGGCGTCAGCTCTGATTTGTATTTGGATGGAAGGCTGCCAATGAACATCAAGTGATGTGGGCTGTTCTTCACACTTACTTAGGCGATCCCTCATAGTCCGAGGATGATGGTCCTCCAAGGTCGGTATTCTGGTGGTGGGTCCGTAGGTGACTGTGGAGCCCTATTCTTGATCTACATCTTCTCCCACAGTGAGGGCATTTGTTTCCAGGTGGAAAGCGGTCCCGGTCAGGGTTGGCTTGACATGCCTCCCTCTTGGCACATTTCTCTCTTTCACCCTCCATTCGTGCCTCTTCAAATTCTACAGCACTGCTGGTCACAGCTGACCTCCAGCTGGAGCGCTCAAGGGCCAGGGCTTCCCACTTCTCAGTGTCTATGCCAGAGTTTTTAAGGTTGGCTTTGAGCCCATCTTTAAATCTCTTTTCCTGCCCACCAACAGTCCGTTTTCCATTCTTGAGTTTGGAATAGAGCAACTGCTTTGGGAGACGGTGGTTGGGCATTCGGACAACGTGGCCGGTCCAGCAGAGTTGATGGCGGAGGACCATCGCTTCAGTGCTGGTGGTCTTTGCTTCTTCCAGCACGCTGACATTTGTCTGCTTGTCTTCCCAAGAGATTTGCAGGATTTTTCAGAGGCAGCGCTGATGGAATCGTTCCAGGAGTTGCATGTGATGTCTGTAGACATTTACGTCTGCGTAGCAGGGTTGAGAGGACAATAGCTTTATAAACAAGCACCCTGGTATCCCTATAGATGTCCCGGTCCTCAAACACTCTCTGCTTCATTCAGAAAAATGCTGGACTCGCAGAGCTCAGGTGGTGTTGAATTTCAGTGTCAATGTTGACTTTTGTGGAGAGTTGGCTGCCAAGGTAGCAGAAATGGTCAACATTTTCTCATGTTACACATTAAGCGGTATTTCCGGCATTGGAGAGGGAATGGCTGGTGAAACACCTATGCTGTAGAATGAATCCACTTTAACTACCTTAGTTCAATGCTATAGAAGCATGGGGGCTGCGGTGTTGCAAAGTCTTGAGTCTTATCTGCTAAATAATGCAGATGCTTCACCAAGTTACAAATACCAGAAACAGAGTATTAAATTAATAGGCATGTGCAATCCATGGTTCTAAATGGTTCTAAAGTACTTACAAAACTAAAGTTCTGGTTGTGAAAACTAGGGGTCGCTGGTGCTTTGCTTCTACAGTGTTGCTAAAGTTCTGGTGGTGAAAATTTCAGAACTCTAACAAAACTTTCAAAATTTCATTATTATTTCATTATTGGTGGTTTTGATGACAGAATCGATTAGGAACTGCCATTTATAATGAAATTTTGAAAGTTGTGTTAGAGTTCTGAAAGTTTCACCACCAGAACTTTAGCAACACCGTAGAAGCAAAGCACCAGTGCCCCCTAGTTTTCACCACCAGAACTTTAGTTTTGTAAGTAATTTAGAACCATTTAGAACAGGGGTCCTCAAACTAAGGCCCGGGGGCCAGATATAGCCCTCCAAGGTCATTTACCCGGCCCTCGCTCAGGGTCAACCTAAATCTGAAACGACTTGAAAGCACACAACAACAACAACCATCCTATCTCATCAGCCAAATCAGGCCCACACTTGCCATTGAAATACTAATGTTTATATTTGTTAAAATTGTTCTTGTATTGTTCTTGTTTTGCTGTTGTTGTGTTGAGGCCTTGGCCTTTGTAAGCCGCATCGAGTCCTTCGGGAGATGCTGTTGTTGTTCATTCATTCAGTCGTCTCCGACTCTTCGTGATCTCATGGACCAGCCCACGCCAGAGCTCCCTGTCGGCCGTCACCACCCCCAGCTCCTTCAAGGTCAGTCCAGTCACTTCAAGGATGCCATCCATCCATCTTGCCCTTGGTCGGCCCCTCTTCCTTTTACCTTCTACTTTCCCCAGCATCATTGTCTTCTCTAGGCTTTGCTGTCTCCTCATGATGTGGCCAAAGTACTTCAACTTTGTCTCTAGTACCCTTCCCTCCAATGAGCAGTCAGGCTTTATTTCCTGGAGGATGGACTGGTTGGCTCTTCTCGCAGTCCAAGGCACTCTCAGAACTTTCCTCCAACACCACACCTCAAAAGCATCTATCTTCCTTCGCTCATCCTTCCCTAAGGTCCAGCTTTCACATCCGTAGGTTACTACAGGAAATACCATGGCTTTGACTATGCGGATCTTTGTTGCCAGTGTGATGTCTCTACTCTACTATTTTATCAAGATTGGACACTGCTCTCCTCCCAAGAAGTAGGGAGATGCTAGGTAAAGGTAAAGGTAGTTCCCTGACATTAAGTCCAGTCATGTCTGACTCGCGGGGTACAAATAAAGTTTAATAATAATAATTAACAATAATGGCCAGCCAGCCTCTGCTTAAAAGCCTCCAGAGAAGGAGCCTCTGCCACACTCCATGGCAGAGAGTTCCACTGCTGAACAGCTCTCACAGTCAGGAAGTTCTTCCTAATGTTCAGGTGGATTCTCCTTTCCTGTAGTTTGAAGCCATTGCTCCATTGCGTCCTTGTCTCCAGGATAGCAGAAAACAAGCTTGCTCCCTCCTCCCTATGACTTCCCCTCACATATTTATACATGAGGTATTTATACATTGCTTATACTCTACTTTTAATGAGCTACTTACTAAGGGTCTCATCTCAGCCTTCTCCTGACCTGTATTTATTTATTTATTTATTTGGTAGTTTTGTATACCGGTCTTCTCACCTCCATTTGAGGGACTCGGGCCGGTTTCCAACATCAATATTACAGACCGTCATTAAAACATATTTGTAAATCACACTAAAACATTAAAACAATTAAAATGGCAAAAATACAATCATATGATTACAGTGGTCAGTCGTCATCAAAGTCATTATTCGTCGTCATCCATCCATATTACAGGATCATGGCTCATTTGTTGACTGCCAATCCCCAAAGCCAGGTTTTCACCTGTTTCCTGAACATTAAGATCAAAGAGGCAGTTCTGATCTCCAGTGGAAGTGAGTTCCAGAGTCGAGGGGCCACCACCGAGAAGGCCCTGTCTCTCGTCCCCACCAGCCGCGCCTGTGAGGCCGGTGGGATCAAGAGCAGGGCACCTCCAGACAATCCTAGTAATCTTGATGGCTCATAGGGGAGGATACGTTCGGACAGGTAAATTGGGCTGGAGTCGTTTAGGGCTTTATAGGTTAAGACCAGCACTTTGAATTGTGCTCGGAAGCTGACTGGCAGCCAGTAGAGCTGGCGCAACAGAGGAGTAGTATGCTCCCTGTACCCTGCTCCCGTTAGTAACCTGGCTGCCGCACGTTGGACTAATTGAAGCTTCCAGGCAGTCTTCAGAGGCAACCCCACGTAGAGAGCGTTGCAGTAATCTAAACGGGATGTAACCAAAGCGTGGACCACCATGGCCAAGTCATCTACTCTTCCAAACACTTGACATGTTCACTGGGATGAAGTCTTTCCTCTCAACCCTACTCCAAGAGAGTTTGCCTGTTTTGGAGGGGGGCGGGGGAGGGAGAAGAGTAGTGCCTGGAAGCGCGCGATGTGATTGGCTCGGGGTCAGGTTGCGTCAGCCAGCCCGCGCGCCATTCCAAGGTAGCTCCCCCCGCCATTCTTCCCTCTTCCGCCTCAAGCGGAACCTTTGCGACGGGAGCAAAGGGGACCGAAATCACAGCCGGACTTGGCAGAGTAGCGCAGAGGAGGCGAGGCCCGCTTGGCGCGCGACGTGCTGCTCAGGAAGGCGCTTCCGTTCGTCGCTTTTGCCGGGTCTGGCTGAGGTGAGTGTCCTGGTTTGGGACGCTTTTTGTCCCTTTCAGCTCGCCGTCGCCCTTTCGAGCAGTGGGATGAGGAAGGAGAGGGAGAGGGCAACCCGGAAAGGGCTGGGAAGGTCACCGTGCCGCATGCCAGCGCCGGCCCTTTCGCTTTCGCATTCCTCGCAAGGGGATTCGTCTCTCTGAGGAGGGTTTCCCACTTTCCCTCATAGCTTCCCACGCTCCTTCTCTCGAGAAAGTAATTTGGCGGAAAGAAGGTGAGTCGTCGCTCTCAGCACGAGGTTGGCTTCTCCGCCTCCAGGCCGCATTCCTCTCCAGAAATACAGACCAGGAATGTCCCGTATTTCTGACTTTTGGGGATTTTGAAATAGTTGTGTGTTTATTTATCTATGGGCCCTTCCACACAGCCATATAACCCAGAATATCAAGGCAGGTAATCCACAATATTTGCTTTGAACTGGATAATCTGAGGCCCCTTCCCCACAGCTGAATAAAATCCCACATTTTCTCCTTTGGAATATAAGGCAGTGATGACTCAGGACCCTTCCAGACAGGCCCTATATTCTAGGATATGATCACGGGATTTCTGTTTATTCCAGATTATCTGGTAGTGGGGATTCATATGATCCAGTTTAAAGCAGAAAACCTGGGATCATGTCCTGGGATATAGGGCCTGTCTGAAAGGGCCCTCAGATAACCCAGGGCTCTTCCACACAGCCCTATATTCCAGACAATCAAGGCAGAAAATCCCACATTATCTGAGTGTACTCAGGGCTCTTCCACACAGCCCTATATCCCAGACAATCAAGGCAGAAAACCCCACATTATCTGAGTGTACTCAGAGCTCTTCCACACAGCCCTATATCCCAGACTATCAAGGCAGAAAATCCCACATTATCTGCATGTGGACTCAGATAACCCAGTTCAAAGCAGGTATTGTGGGATTTTCTGCCTAGATATTCTGGGATATAGCGCTGTGTGGAAGGACCCTCAGACAATCCAATTAAAAGTAGATATTGTGGGATGTTCTGCCTTGATATTCTGAGATATAAGGCTGTGTTGAAGGGCCCCCAGTTCAAAGCAGATATTGTGGGATTTTCTGCCTAGATATTCTGGGTTATAGGGCTGTGTGGAAGGGGCCTGAGTCCACACTGCCAGATAATCCACTTCAATGTGGATTTTATACAGCTGGGTGGAAGGGTCCTATATTTACAGTAGACACTCAGTTAACTGCTCAGTAGACACTCAGCCTCTCAAGCAAGCGGCAAAAATATTGATATTATTGAATAATAATACTGTAGTCACAAAGTTGTTTTGATAATATGATAAATGTGTCTCATTAAATTTCCATGTATTTGCTTTTAATCTCTGGTTTTCGATATTAATATCAAGTCAATAATTATTGTTAGCTTTATTTATGTCCCGTCACCATCTCCCGAGGAGCCCTGGTGGTGCAATGGGTTAAACTCTGTGCCAGCAGGACTGAAGACGTACAGGTCGGTGGTTCGAATCCAGGGAGAGCTCGGATGCACTCCCTATGCAGGGACATGAGAGAACCCTCCCACAAGGATGGTAAAAGATCAACACACACAAAATATCCGGGCATCCCCTGGGCAACGTCCTTGCACATGGCAAATTCTCTCACACCAGAAGTGACTTGCAGTTTCTCAAGTTGCTCCTGTCACACACAAAAAAACACTACTTCCCGAAAGAGACTCAGGGCAGCCCCACAAAGAGCACATTACAGTAATCCATATGGGATGTAACTAAGGCATGATTATCTCTTCCTGTTATCTCACCCCATTTCTAAGTCGGATGTCTGTAACTTGGGGACTGCCTGTACAGAGTTTATAGTATAGAGTATAGTATGGGTTAATTAGGCCTGTTTTTAATAGTGACTCTCAGAGAATCGGAAACTACATTTATCTGGCATCTCAGAATTCCCATGAGCCCATTCTTTATGTGTAGCGGATATACTAAGTGACCCTCCAAAATTGCCTTCAGAGCTACCCTGGGAGCAATTCCTACAAGCATAGGACCAAAACTGAAATCCCAGTGGCTTAACAATGCTTTAAAACTCTTGTTTCCTAAGTGAAACAAGGGTGCATCTATACTATAGAATTAATATTGTTTGGCATCACTTTAATTGTCATGACTCAATGCTATGAAATTGAGGAAGTTAGCCTTCCCTGCCAGAGAGTGCTGGTGCAACTTCAAACTACAACTTCAATGATTGCACAGCACTGAGCCATGGCAGTTACAGTGGTGTCAAACTGCATTCATTCTACAGTGTAGATGCACCCCAAGAAACAAGAGATTTTCCTGTTTGTGTGTATTTGTATATAAATATATAGCTATATATGATTTCTTGGATGAAGAATCAAGTCTAAACACAAACTTCATTTTTCACTCATATGTACCTCATACATATAGCCTGAAGGTACATGTGTTTGCAGTATTTTGAATAATGTTGTGCATGAAACAAAATTTATAAACACTGAACCATCAGAAGGTAAAAGTGGAACTATTTTGCCATTCATGTGGGTGGTTTTAGAGTGTTTGGATTTCAGATTTCCAAAAAAGGGATGCTCAGTCTATACCTCTAGTGCTATTAAGAATTCATTTATTAGCTTTTGTCATAGAATAATAGAATCATAGAGTTGGAAGAGACCTCATGGGTCATCTAGTCCAACCCCCTGCCAAGAAGCAGGAAAATCGCATTCAAAGCATCCCTGACAGATGGCCATCCAGCCTCTGTTTAAAAACCTTCAGAGAAAGACCCTCATGTTAATATGTGCTCTTACAACAAACCTGCAAGGTAGGCTATCTAATAAGCATGGTGACCACATGAATTTAATAGGATTTTCTTAGACAGCAAATATTCATAGGTAGTTTTGACAGTTCTTTCTTCTGAAAGATAGCCTGCTGCATCTTGTATTCATTAGCATTCTCCCACTGAAGTACTAACCATTGCTAACCCTGCTTAGCTTCCAAGGTCAGATGGGATCTGGTTATTTATCCTTTAGGTTATTTATCCCGAGGGAATTCCTTTGTCTCTAGTAGGGAAGGGATGGTAAAACCGGAGAAAAAAATCTGCACAGCAAGCCTTTCTTCACAGCAAGCCTTTTCTTCACATTCCATTCTGTAAAGTAGCTAGCTGGTTATCTTATCTGTCAGACTTTGAACTAAGGTGCCCTGTGAATGTGTCTGACTTGGCATATCCTGCCCAAAGTGATGTTTGTTAAAAATACATTTTTACAGTGCTGTTTTGTTTAAAAGCTCCAGGAGAATGGTAAAAAACTCAAATCCTGGAAACACAAATTGGTTAAAGCATACACCACAAAAGATGGGAGGAATAAGAGAATAAGCAAATCCAGCCATTAATACTTGAAATTTTAAAAAGTTGCTCTTATGACCTATAGAAGTGAAAACATTTATGGGTGAGAAGGATTCGAACAGATGCGGTTTTTCACTACAATTGAAAAGGCTCCACTTCTCATCACTCTTGCCATTTTATAAAATGGCTGCTGATAGATAATAGTTATAAGAAGAGGGGAATTGTTTATACATCTTATGCTGATCCCCTCTGCCCAGCCACATAATGATTTAGGACTCAAGCAACGCCTTGTGGAAAGGAAATGCTATAGCATATGATTTTAGACAAGGTGGGAAGCATCTATAGCATTACATAAGGTAATGAAAAGAGAAGAATAAGTTAGGAAGAAGCTTTGGACAACATTTAAGGAGTCTGTTGGATTCAGAAATGTATGAGAAGCCAATAAAGACAGCTGAACATTTGAATTGCCTGAAAAATTGCAGGGATTGATTACCTTATAAGTGGCAACAAAGGAAGACCAAAGAACATTATAGTAAGTCAAGGTGAGAGATAAGTAGAGTTTTAGTTGATGTGATAGAGATGAAGATCTGGATTTTTTTCAGACCTGTTTGTAAGGAAGCAAGAAGATAACTGATCTCACATGGGAAGTGAAGGTGAGACAAAAAGGAAGAAAATAAACAGTATGAAGCACTCAAAATTAGTCTATAGTTTTATATGCATTGTGTAGAAATAACTGTACTGTACTGAGTGGCCATTCACATAATAATACTTCTATTTGTTATCCATCTTCACGTTTTGAGGCAGGATACAACATAGTTAAAACACACAGCCAAAGCATAATACCATTAAATGTGTATATTAAAATACACAGAACATCAGTACTAATCAAATGTAAATTTAAAATCCATTGTTTAAAATTGACTAGGTAAGCCTGCCAGAAGAGATAGGTTTTTAATTGTATTTTAAAGTTTGAGTGCTCTTTTAGCGATTAGACCTCTTCTGGCTAGTCATTCCACAGTGTTGGGGCAGCCAATGAAAAGTTCCCCTGCTTGATAGTTAACAATCGGTTTCTGGTTGGTTGGAGTAAGTGTCCCCAGAAGTGTTGGGCTGATTATACAGGAGAAGGTGATTCTGTAGGTATCCTGGGCCCAGACCATGTAGGGCTTTAAAGATTATAAGCAGCAATGTATTGTCGAAGGCTTTCATGGCTGGAATCACTAGGTTCTTGTGGGTTTTTTCAGGCTATAGAGCCATGTTCAAAGCAGCACTTTGTTCTTTGCCTGGAAACGAGTTGGCAACTAGTGGAGTGATTTTAGTATGGGTTTGATATGCTCACTTGTGGATATTCCTGAAAATAGTGTCTGGTGCCAAGTTTTGAATTGTGTTTCAACTTATTTTAGTTTCAAGTTTCTGAACTTGGTACAGCCGATTGTGCATAGCAAAAGTTTGACCTTGAGGTTATAAGCACATGCACTACTGTCTTTAAGATGCAATGTTTGTCCCCCTATTGCAGGACTCATACTAAGCTTGAATTGCCTAGAATAGTGCCACAGTATAGTGATATAGAGACACTTGATTTTTGGCTCAAATCCAGATTGTTTAAAGCAGGGCTTCTTAATTTTTTTTCACTTGCAAGTTCTTTTGGTCCAGTAATTTTTTATATGTCCCCTGTTATATAAATATAAAAAATAGTTATCAAAACAAAATATTAGTTATAAAAAATAACATGAAATTAGCATTAGCAAGTCTTTCTAAGCAGGCTGGGTTTTCCTATTGTGAATCATTTTCTGATCTTGGGATCTGAGCAGAGCCAGCCCCTGCCAAGCAATACCAGTTGCTGTGGACTGCATTTCAGAGGAAGGAATTTCCAAAACTACCTCTGAGTATTCCTTAACTTTAAAAACCCTAGGCAATTAATAGGATTAATTTCAACATGCAACTTGAAAGCACACACAATCCCTAAAAAGTTATTGGTTTGATCCAGTGGCTGTGGAAATGCTAAGGAAGGGGGCTGTACTTGCAGGTCGGAAATGTAGAGGATAACCCCACTTTGATCTTGATAAGTCATATTGTCACATTTGTTGAAGTTGAAGGATACTAGCTATGACTCATGAGGTCTTTTCAATCCCTGGTGAGTCTTATTTTTTGCAGGCCTGAGAGGACTACAAGAATAGTGACTCTGTCACGTGTTGGTGGGCTATCAAACGTAGGTGGAATTGAAAGCTGTTGTCTAGATTATTTTTCCCCAAGAAAGCCCATCACTGTATATGGTAAATCAGCTGGTCAGATGCTTGATAATCCTCTTACCTGACAGGTGACCAGTTTATAATGGAGCATCTCTTATAGTTTGTTGTGATTTGACAAGCTGCTTGTGTGAAAGTGTCCTTTTTAACTTCCGAGGCAGAGGGGAAAGAACTTGAGTTTAGTAAGATACATTGAATTAAATGAAATTAAATGGCATAAGACAAGCAGGTTATGGGCAGTCCCCGACTTACAAACATCCGACTTACAAACAACTCATCGTTAAGAACGGGGGTGAGACAAAAGGAACTGAGAGAAATCTGCCTCTCGGAATGGAAATGCTATCATGGGGAAAAGTGAGAAAGCTGAAGCTTTCTCACCAATCCTTATTTCCACAGCAACTGGATTTTCCAAAATTCAATTATCACAAGGGCAGAAAGTGAGGAAATCATCTGAAGAGGAACACAGACAGCAAAAGAAACATAACAGGGCTGTTAACCCTTATCTATGCAATCCAAAACTCAGCTGGAGTTATACTTTTAAAAATGTGCCTGTTCCATCTTACTTACAAATTAAACTTAAGAACAAACCTGCAGAACCTATCTGGTTTGTAACTTGGGGACTGCCTGTATAAGTAAAGTTGTTGCAGTTTTAATCAATGTATACATTTTTACTTCCTTCTTGGCTTAAACAATGTGTCAACATATTTTCCATGATGTTGTGGAGAAACATTTTAAAATAAAGGAACCTAGCAATGTTAATTACAAAAAAGAGATTACTAATATGATATCTGCTTTGTCTGCTGACACAGCTATTTTTGGTTTCAGAAGTTCTGCTTATGTAAATTATGCAACAGTTGAAAAAGGGGAAATTATGCATGTTTCGAGGCAGATAAAATTGTTGTTTTTGTGAACACAGTATTAACATGAAGAGTTATTTTTTGGTGTGACCTTGTCTGATCTGTTATACGCTACTTAAGAATGCATAGTTATTGCCTTTGTCGAATCGGAAGACCCAAGATCAGGGTTTGAAGCACACTGGCAATTAATTATTCTAAGTCAATATCTGTTAAGAAAAGCAAGTTTTGATATATTCATAGAGAAAACAATCCATTTAACCAAGTTAATAATTTGTGCCTCTTATCTGTTGCTCTTTCCTATTTCAGTAGACTCTACCAAATGGCATGAATACACTAATGGCTTTTAGTTGGAAACCTATGTCAGGGCATAGACAGTATACAAGTGGTGGGGAGAAGGAGACCAGTGCTCACTTGGTGGGGTTGTCAGGCAAGCTCCTTCCTTGTTTCTTCGGATCTTCATTCTCCAAGTGCCCCTTTTCCTTTGTTGGGAAGCTGGACTGAGCGCCATCCAAGTGGCACAAATTGTTTGTCCTTCTCCAAATAGAAATGTTTCACTCTATAGGATCATTCTGTATGACCGGGAAAATGTGCAAAGTTTTAGGTGAAAGTTGCACTGTCACACAACAAAGTCTGAGATGTTGTCTGATAAGATTGCAGTACCCTTAGTAGCCAGAACACATTAAATGTAGTTGTCATCTAGCATTTCCCAAGTTCAAAGTTGGAGATTTCCTACAGGTTGGTAAATATGTCGGAAGGTGGGTAAAATGCTTCAGAACACTACTGTTGCTTCCTAGCAAGTAGGAGTAAACAGAAATATACTGAATACACAATTTACCATTTTACCAGTTTAAATATTTCTGAAAGGCTTTCTTATTTTCCAGACACAACAAAAAAGAAAAAAAGCCGCTCAATTTTTGGAGTAACCTATCATTAAAAATTGATTAAGGAAATAACTTTCTTGCTTTTCTTTGATGTAACATTGTGATCTTTCTCCTACCCTTTTTGATATAGGTGAAACAAGCAAAATGGTCCATGCTGAAGCCTTTTCCCGTCCCCTAAGTCGGAATGAAGTTGTTGGTTTAATTTTCCGATTAACGATATTTGGTGCTGTAACATATTTTACCATTAAATGGATGGTAGATGCAATTGATCCAACAAGGAAGCAAAAAGTAGAAGCTCAAAAACAGGTAAGGGAATGAAATGTTTCTTCTTGAATGTTAGACTTATTCAAATTGTCATTTTGGTGCAGAAAAACAATTAACTCCTTGTTGGTTACAAAGCCCATATCAACCAAGTACAGTAGTATTTTTTTCTGGTTCGCAATATGCAACCTTGGTTGCTTGTAGGTGTCTTTAAAGAACCATCTGAGTTGCTGTCCCTTGATAAGACAAATATTCTTTTTTTTAATGTTTTTTCATTACTGATGTCAGGGACTGATTGTTGTTTTCTGCCATAAATTTGTTTTCTTCAGGTGCAATCTGCTAGGTGGCATTCAGCTGTTTCTTTCACTGTGTCTTCTTTGCCTTGCTTTCTTTTGAAATAGCAAGGACCCATCAATATTAACTGATTTCTCATCCAGTGCCTTTCTTCTCTTTTGTGTGTTGCCTATTATTAAACTGTTTATTATGTTTAAGAGAAAAACATTCCTTGCTGGCTATGTAAGAAACTAGAAAGACTGATGTGAAAGGAAAGGAGTTAACAGTCATAACAAAAAACAACCTTGGACTACTGCTTTGTCTATAGGCACATGGAGAGTAACCAACAGTTTGTGAATTTATTCTTCATGCCATCTAAAGAATATATATTTCTAAGTATCTGGCCTGAATAAAACACTTTGTGTTCATTTTCCTGCAAGGACATGAAATCCTTTCAAACCTTTCTTCTAAATATGCTGCATTTTATGGCTTTTTGCAGGTATAGTTATAATAAATGTGTCCATTATCAGATCCAGATAATTATGTCATATGTTCTTGTGACCGTTTGACCCTTCCGAGGTTCCTTACATCATTTAACCCCAGGCCCTGTCACCTCCAATCTTCCCTTTTCTAATCTCTTCCCTGAATTTTACTATTCTACAGTTGCTTTATGATTGGATAAGTAGATAGATAGATCTGTGTATTGATTAGTCCACTTACCATACCARTAATAAAAGACAAAAACAAAAATACACAGGCAAATAGAAACCTATCACTATYCTAAAACTCCTGTAATAGTTAACTAAAATAAACKGAAACACAATAAAACTTGATTAAGTAATAAGTTTGGTAAAATGGGATTAATCACAAGATGAAAGCGGGGGGGGGGGGTAAGAGTGATGAGGGTAAAAGAATCAGTTGGGGAATTTTGGTAAGTTCATCACCATGACAGAGGATTGGACACATATTTTTAAGGTTCGTGCTTGGTGCACAGCTGAGAGGATAGCCCCCAGAACAAAAAGCCTAATAAGGATATATTTAAAAAATTATTTATTGAAACACTTCTTTTTAACATCATCAGTGTTGACTTACTGCTTTTAATCAATTTCTTGTTCTCTTGAACTCGAACACTATACCTTTCCTCCCTTATCTCAGACACTTCAAACATTGCTTCTGCTCTCACTGTCATGTTTTTCCTTCTCTTCCTTCTGAGTTGCTCCTTTCACCACACTAAGGCTGTGATAATAACTTTACAGGCTGGGACAGGCCCTCAGGCCTTTCTGTTCATTTCAATTGTCTGTATATTCTCTGCTATAAACAAGATTTTTCACTTCCTATATTTAACTTGATTGACATTAGCTCAGAGATATCATGCAACTGGTTTTTTGGAAAACCACATTAATCTTTGTGTCCTAAAGCTAATCTCAGGATCAGCACTGCCAGCCATTTCTGCTATTTAGGGTTAATGCCAATGAAAAAAAAATCTCTGAACTTGGGTAGAAGGAGCAAAATGAAAAGAGAAGCTGAAAGAAAAGCAATTTGCAGTCTTAAAGTTGTCCCATCAACATCCTGAAGGGAGGTGTTAGTGTTATATCTATCCAACATCTTTTACTCTTTCCAGAGGTTTCTCTGTTCCAAACAATGTTTTGTAATTAGGAAAAGTAGTATTTGTTTTAGTACAGTAGTCTAGTGTTTCTGTCTTAATTTCAGTGTGGTTCCATGTTTTTGCCACATGGTCATTGCTTGTGAAAAGGAGAAAGCAAAGCCAAATGGTTGTTTCTTCCTTCATTCCTTCCCTGATCTGTTTTGATCAGACAGGGTGTTGTAGCATTTCTGGAAAAGATATTGGAAGAGTATTGAAAAATACTAAAATACCATTAGTCTAAGTTGTTATTTACCATAGTAATGATAATAATAATAATAACAATAACAACTTTATTCTTACACCCTGCCATCATCTCCCCAAAGGGATTTGAGGCGGCTTACATATGGGACAGAATAGCCACAAGACTTAAAAGCAAAACAGTCAATTAAAACAAAAACTTCCTTAAAATAAAACACAGCAAATCATAACAATCCAGATAAAAACGCAATTAAATAAAGCATAAGGGTATAAAACGGCAGCATTGAAAATCCGATCAGAACAATGCTCAACAAAAAACCAATACTCTAAACTATTTATACAACAAATAAACTATTTGTTTGTTTTATTTATTTTATTTATTTGTTTACCGCCTTTCCCAGCCCCGAAGCGGACTCAGGCTGGTTCATAGTGTTGGCAACAATTCAATGCTGTTGATAAAAACAGTATAAAACATCAAAATTGACCCTCCCTGATAAAACATTAAACATTATTACTAAAATGGGCACAGAGAGACACTCTGAATGTACTTCATTTAAAATAATTATAATAATGAAATAATGGTCTATCTTTGTTTTTTCCAAAAAAGAACAACTTGAGTCCTATGTTTATTCCTATAAAATTCAAAGAATCTGTTTACAAATATCCGTACTCACAATTTACTCAACATCCACTGCCAAAGTAGCACTTCTTTCTTCGATAGAACAAATGTTTTAGTATTACTGAACGCTGTTTTTCTTCTATGTAGGCAGAGAAATTAATGAAGCAAATAGGTGTGAAAAACGTAAAACTTACAGAGTATGAAATGAGCATTGCTGCACATCTTGTAGACCCTCTGAGCATGCATGTAAGTATCTCTCTTAGTTGCATTTTCTCTTGTCTACCACAGTTTATAGAACCCCTAAAACACCATTTTGCTTTGAACAGTCATGCTTCTACTATTTATTGAACTGCTTGGAATTATACATTTTTCATGGCTGCATAGGTTCATAGAAATGAAGTCATATATTGGTAAATATTGATATGCTTAATAAATGGCTTCCATTAAAATAATTACTCAGAAATCATTATCTTAGGTTCATGACACAGTGCCACAAAGTTTGGAGTTTACACAGATGAAATAGAACAACTTATAATTAATCTAGGAAATAGTACGTCTTATAATAAATCTAGGAAATAATTTGAGATTATTCTGTGCTGGTCATATCATCCATTGCCTACCTTCCCAGTAAATTAGCTCTGGGTCAACATTTCAACCAAACTCCCTGTTTGGTTGACTGTTACCTTTCTATGGCCAGCAAGTGACAATGTGAAGTATTTCTTTGCTTTCCCACCACACAATCCAGTAAAAAAAAACAAACCAAAAAACTGTGTATCTCAGAAACACCATCTACGTAGCATATTATGTGAATAAACTTACATATTTGCAATAGTAAACAATCATACATATTAGTAAAATTAACAGTATATCACATTTCTTGTGTTTTCTTTTTCCCCCTAGTTGGTCTTCTGTTATTTTATTTATAGTTATATTTATAACTGTACAGACATTAGCCTCAAAATTAATATTTTGAGATTCAAGTCCACTGACAGTCTCTTGGGAGATCTGAGGATGTTACTGCTTGAAAACTAGATGGTATTCATCTTTCTGACTTTGTTTTTATTTTATAAAATTTCTCATACAAGCCCCAATTTATATGTCTCACCAGTCCACCCATGATTATCTTCAGAACGGCCCTGTAGGTTACTCTATGAGAGAGTGACAAAGTAAACTAAACATTGTCTGATGGCCAAGTTAGGGTGCATCATGTCCTAGGACAAATAATCTTTGGACAAATCCCTTTGATTCCCATGATAACTTTCCTAACACTTTATTTGTGCCTCAGGTAACCTGGAGTGATATTGCAGGTCTAGATGAGGTTATTACAGACTTGAAGGACACTGTCATTTTGCCAATCAGGAAAAAGCATCTGTTTCAGAATTCCAGGCTCCTACAGCCTCCTAAAGGTAAGTACAGAAAAATCTTCATTGGTGATTTTTCTAAGTAGATCCTAATAATTTGCATCAAAAGAAAATAAAGCCAGGTAAAATCCTGTTTAACCATTTGTGGGAGGTTATTATTATTCAGTTTATTTATACACTGCTTTTTCTCTCCACAAGGAGATTCAGAGTGGCTATCACTTAACCCACCATGTTTGCACTCAAAAGAGGTTCTGCCTAAATCTGTAGTCACAAAAACTTTCACAAATCTCAGGTTATCATAAGAGTGGGGTCATTCATCACATCTGGCATCTACCAAACCTATCCAGATCTGCTCAGACATTCAACCAATTACCAATCAATATTCCATTCTTACCTCATCTTGGGGGCCCTGTATCTTACTATAAAATAAACGTTGTTCTAATATAGATGGTATGCCCCCCATCCCCTTTATCCATAAACTTACCCAAAGTTTCATTTATTTTCTCCTTCAGGCCTCCTATGCAAGCTATATACTCTTTTCAGTACCTCAGCCACTTGGCCACTGCTATTATCTGCAGTTTCATGCAGTTTTTGTCCAAGACCATCTCCTTCCATGGATACAGGGGTCACATTATATGGTTAATTAAACAAGAATTTACACCCCAAATTCCATGATATCACACTATTTTTATTATTTTATCATGGTTCAATACATTTGTTATACATTGTTCGTTTTATAGCAGATACGTATCATTCAATACAACCTACCATACTTTAACTTTTAGCATCTAGTGTTATTTTTCTGCTTATACATATTATCTATCCCTCACCTCTGTGCTCTCCTCCCCCCTCCCAAGCCACAGCTTTTACATATCATCTGTCCAAAATCTCAATTCTTCTTGTGGAGGTAACTTTCCTTCTTTATTTTTTAATCCTTTTTCAATAAATTTTCTCCATACATCATCAAAATCACTTTGTTTCCATATACCTCTTTTAACTTTTAACATACCTGTCAGCTTATCATTTATTGCCAATTTCCATACTCCTCTATTTGTATATTTATTTCTCTTTTCCAGTTCCTTGCTATAAGCAGCTTAACAACATAGGAATAGTCATATTACTGCAAATTGCAGCAACCTAGTCATGATAGTTTCCACACAGTAGCTAGCAGTATGACATTTGAATTTCTTGAGCACCAAGGGGACAGTTTTGGATTTTGGAGTCATTTGGAATTCCAGATAAAGGATGCTCGACCTGTAGTAATAAATGGTCTAAAACAATAAGTATAAATCAATGTTTCCCAATCTTTTTTGACCAGACAGTACTTTGACCAGGGACCACTCTCTATCATTAGTATCAAAAGGGTTACAAATCAGTTTTTGGTCAATTTTAGATTCAGTTTGGTTATTTGGGGTACTGATTCAGAAAATTGCATTGGATAGATCACATCAGCTCTAGTTTCTGATACAAAACATATGCCATTCAGTAGTTGCCATCTGCTTGCCCACAGAAAACCACATTTAATAAACCTCAGCACTATAAGAGGATTTAGCGAGACCAGTCACTCTTATTGCAACAATGAGGAAATGGTGAGGCCGTGGACCATATGATAGGCTAGGAACCACTGGCATAAATAATTTTTAAAAACCACACATAAAAGCTGCAAAACTTCAGCAGATAAAGAAGCTCCTTACTTGGAACCAAAAAGGCAAAACTCAATGCCCTACCAGTATTTTGTCTCCTGGGAGAATTTTTAATGGGCAAAGTGCCCCCACTGGGGAGATAGCTTCTTCACTTTGGCAGGTTTATCAAAGCACTCAGAGAGGATCTCTGAAGATTACCTTGATGTTTAGGAAACTTTGGGTGAGACTAAGTTGTTCTTTAAATAGAGACTTCTTAATTTTTTCCATCCACAACCCTTTTCCATCTGAGAAAATATTATGTGACCCCTGGTATATAGGTATATAAAATAGGCATACAATTCAAACAGTTACTGATAACAAATCAGCATTTGCAAAGCTTGCTAAACAGGCTAATTTTCTTTTTTTATGGAGTACAGCTATATTCTTCAGGGTCCACTATAAATGCTGCACGAATATCTAAAAGCCATTAGGTGGCATTCAGAAAACTTACTATTGCTAAATTTTCTGTGACCCCAACATTAATCAAAGCGACACACAGTTTAAGAAGCAGTACTTTAGATAACCAGATCTCAATCCCTACAATATTTTCATGATTATGAAATGCATTTAGAATTTGAATTGGAGGTGAGCTACAATCTGTTTAAAGCAGTTGATTCATGAGTTAAGTATTCCGCGCTTGGTATTGTGTCAGCAACATTCTGGGCCAGTCAGAGTTTCTGGATAATCTTTAAATTTGTGCATGAAACACAAATTACTCAAAACAACTTGGAATCATCAAATAGTTGTAATAATAAGTTATCTTATAAGTTAGTGTGAAAAGAAAAATGTGAATCTCACAGATTCTTTAGATGCACTTTGAAGAAAGTGAGGTACTATCTAAATAAAAGATTTCATACTTAGTTGTGCCATTTCAATACTTCTGACTGAGTGGTTTTCTGTGATAATTTTGGCTTTTATTATTCTCTTTCTTTCCCATTGAGATCATTTTGTTTCCTAAGAAAGTGTAATGTTAAGGTTCCATTACAGACTAGACCAGGGGTCCTCAAACTTTTTAAACAGAGGCCCAGGTCACAGTCCCACACTCTCTTGGAGGGCCGGGTTATAATTTGGGGGGAAAAAAACATGAATGAATTCCTATGCACACTGCACATATCTTATCTGTAGTGCAAAAAACACTTTAAAACAATACAATAATTAAAATAAAAAACAATTTTAACAAATATAAACTTATTAGTATTTCAGTGGGAAGTGTGAGCCTGCTTTTGATTGATGTGATAGTGTTGCTGTTGTTGTGTGCTTTCAAGTAGTTTTAGATTTAGGTTAACCCTCATCGAGGACCGGGTAAATGACCTTGAAGCTCTCGGGCCTTAGTTTAAGGACCCCTGGAGTAGACTCTCTACTCTTTGCCAGGTTTGGGACACAGGACTGCCATGTGGAAATGCTACAAATAAAATACGGTGATTATTAAAAACCTGAGTAAATATTTCTCGGCAACTCTAGGGCCTCCAAAGTGACTCCGTTACAACGCACTGGAGGATCTAGATATTGTTAGAGAGCATATATTAATCAAATGCGAAAATAATACAGTTATAAAACCATTCTAAACTGCAAGGCCATTAAATGTTAATAAAAGTGGCAAATTGGAACATTCACACTTGTCTCAAGCAGACAAGACTTCTTTCTCCCACCCTGGACATTCCACAGGTATATAGACCTCCCTTGCCTAGTTTCCAACAGACCTCACAACCTCTGATGATGCCTGCCATAGATGTGGGTTAAGCGTCAGGATAGAATGCTTCTGGAACATGGTCATACAGCCCGGAAAACTCACAGCAACGCAGTGATTCCAGCCATGAAAGCCTTCAACAGCACATTGTAGTATAGTTTTTCAGTGAAATTCTCATAGAGTCTCAACCAATTCAACATAGTTTGTGGCAGCCACAAAACCAAATTTTCTGGAGTACAACAACTGCTTTCAAAGTAAGCACCACGCAATTAAACAGGAGTAACACTTTCAAACCAGGAAAAGAAAAAAAAATCAAATTTTGTTACCTAGTGTAATCAAATCTGCAACCCACAAGTGAGGAGGGTGAACTGTTTAGGAGCCAAACTATATAGGAGCAGCAGTGCAGATGTTGAATATGTGAAGGCACTTAACAAGCAGCCTTATTAATGCTGAGATGTGTGTGTAGGTGTGCAGACAATGTCTCTTGCACTAAGTGGCAATAAAATGTTAATATTGTATCTTTTTTTAGGAGTACTCCTCTATGGCCCTCCAGGCTGTGGTAAAACTTTGATTGCTAAAGCTACAGCAAAGGAAGCAGGTTGTAGATTTATTAATCTTCAACCCTCAACGCTTACAGATAAATGGTATGGGGAATCTCAGAAGCTGGCAGCTGCCGTTTTTTCCCTGGCTATGAAACTGCAACCATCCATCATCTTTATTGATGAAATAGGTAAAATAATGTATGCTCTCTATATAGTCACAGAAAAAGGTAGCGATAAAGTGTTTTAAAACCAGTGGTCCTGTAGGATAAGTGTCAGTAGCAAAGAAACGTGCCATTTTCTGTAAAAACTAGGCCATTAAATGCTTTGGTAGTATTATGAGTTACCTTGAGGAGAAGTAGAAAAGCCATTTTACTAGTACATAGAATCATAGTACTTAAAATATGATGTTTGCTGCAGGAAGACAATGAAACCCTTCAGCAGATGTTCTGTTTTCATTTCAAGGCAGCTGTGGTTTATTTGTATGTGATGTTATGCTCCACATTGGGTGGTTAAGATGTACAAATCTTATTCTTCAGCTTGCATGCAATATGCTACATGAGGTTTTGGTGTTAAGTAAATCATTGCATAAGAAGCAAAATGTAATGAATGTAATGTGTATCTTCAAGAGCAGACTAGGAACATGCTGGAGGGGAAAGTATATTAAATATCAAGAATGCTATCTTGAGTTGGTGGGACTTGTAATCCAATAGTTTCTCATTGCCCCCATTCTTGTCGCTTTCAATGAGCACAAGTTTACATTCCTTTTTTAAAAAAAAAAAAATTCAGATTCCTTTCTGCGAAGTCGTTCCAGTTCTGACCATGAAGCCACAGCTATGATGAAGGCCCAGTTCATGAGTCTCTGGGATGGTCTGGATACTGACTATAACTGCCAAGTAAGTAACACTTTTCCACAGTAAATTGATTTTGAAAGTCAGTATAGGACACGTATGTAGCACAGACTTCGTATTTCTTTTCTGCAGCAGAAATCTTCATTAAGTGCAAAACTAAACCATAGCAAGGTCAGGGGAGCTTAAATGCTTAGCAGAAGGGAAGTACAAGATCCACAAGTTTCTGTTCTCTGCAGCTAGGGTTTCATTTTTCCTCTTTTTCTAAAGGGTGTATTTTCACCTAACATCAAGGCTTCACTTGTTGAACAGAGGATCAACAGATGGTGTCAAAAATGTGTATGGGGTTGCATAGTGCTAGTTCCTAGGATTTTAGGTTTGGTCTCCTGTGGATAAGCAATCCTTGTTCATTAATACCTTCTTTGTTGTGTTGGATAGTCAAATGAGTCCGATCTTTTTTGGCTTAGTCAATCTTAACTCGTTCAGGATGAATTTAAATTATTCCTGGCAGTTGAGATTGCTATCTCAGAAGCTTCAAAATGACTTGAGATGGTTATCACATAACCATAGGATATTGGAACTGGTTTGCAAAATGTTGCAGAGGTCAGTAATAAGGAAGAAAAATGCATGTCAAGCTTTGCAGAAACCAAACAGAACTACAAGTCACAATATGGTCACCATATACACAAAAATAATGTGTATAATAGTGAACCTTTTTGAAATAAAGGGCCTAAGTCTAGTTGAGTCTGACTCTGCCGAAGAGCCGGCATTGTCCATAGATGCCTCCAAGGTCATTTGTCTGCATGGAGCGCCGTTACCTTCCCGCCAGTGTGGTACCTATTGACCTCACATTTGTACGTTTTCAAACTGCTAGATTGGCAGGAGCTGGGGCTAACAGCAGGAGCTCACCTTTCTCCCTGGATTCCAACTGCCGACCTTTCGGTCAGCAAGTTCAGCAGCTCAGTGGTTTAACCCGCTGCGCCACTGGGGGCTCCCGTCTTAAAATAAATCAGTGATAATATCATGAATTAGAAACACTAAGGCCAATATGGCACCCATTTGGTCACTATTGATCACAGTCTGACCACATCACTATTCAACTGGCTCAGGTTTCTGAGTATGAGTAAAGGCAGCCCAACACAGAGCATGCTGTAGAAATCCAAGGCTGTAGTTATCAGGAGGAGACAAAAGGATAGCATTGCATCTCCAAATATGAATTCCACATTCCCTATGAAAATTTCCTCCAGCATTTCTCATATTTCAGAGGATGGAACAGTGGATATCATTCACCCCGGGAATTCTTATCACGTTTCCTTGAAAACAGTGTTTCTAAATGTAAAACTGATTTTTTTAAGTTACTACAGTGCTATACGTTTGCAGACAGAAGGAGAATTTCTTTTGGAGAGGCAGAATTCTTAATTGGGTGGGCAATTCATTCGTTTAGCTCTCTCCCCTATTGTTACATCCCTGCATTAGTCCAACTAGAGCTTGTGCATTTGAAAAAATGAATTGTCAAGCTCCTAGAGTTGATGAAGCAATACTTTAATACTATCTTTTAGTATTGCACATTTGTATAAGATCCCTATCTGTTTCTGTTTGTTTAATTTGTATGGCCCCATTTTCGTTTTCAAGTGCGACTTCCGAAAACGGCGCCTTTCTGAATGAGCTTTTTTGTTTGACATCTGAAAAAAATGAATCTTTTCATCCCACTGGTGGTAATGGGCGAGTGATCCTACATAAATGTTCCCCTTCCCCATAGTTTTAGGGCTCTTCCTCTTCAATTGGGAAATTGCTGAGGTCTCTTCATCGGAGATCCTTGGCGCAGGGCTGGTGGCTTGCCATTTGCCAGAGCTTGCCCTCAAGTGCTTGGCAACCGTAAAGGCCCTGACAGGCCCGCATGTTTTGGGCCTACGCACACGGGCCTGTCGGGGCCTTCAGTTGAGGGCTAAGTAAGAAGCGGTCCTTACTAGTTGCCGCAGCTTGCCCTCCACCACTCTGCAACTGTGCAGACCCAGAAAGGTCCTTGCAGGCCAACACGCTTAGGATCTATGCACGCGGGCTTCTAGGACCTGAAGGCAAGGGCTGAGTAAGCAGCTCTCCTTACTTAGCACTTGGCTGCAGGCCCACACATGTAGGTCCAAAGTGTGCAGGCATGCCGAGCGGTGGAGGGCAAGCCCTGCCAACCGGCAAGCCACCAGCCCTGTCCAGAAATCTCCAATGAAGAGACCTCAGTGTAATCTCTATAACTATGGTATCAAAAAGCAGGCTTGGAGCTGGTACCCACTCCCGCTTGCCTTTCGTATCGAGTTTATTTTCATTCCAGAAGGGGCCTTCCTGTTCCGTGCCATTCGAATGAACAGAACGAAATGGAAACACGAATTACACAGATGATACAGATACTGGGCCCATGACTATTATCTTTTCTAAAATATTTTTGCAATATTTATTATCATCTGTAGGTGGCAGTCTCTCCCTTCTCTCATTTCCCATTTTGAAACATGCATCCCTGGACCTTTTACTTATTACCAGTTATCTGTATTTGATTATCTGTGGCATGTTTGTGTGTGTGAGGAAGAGAGAGGGATTAAAATAGAAAGAGCACAGCCTACACAGCTGCTGCAGTCTTGTAAAAACGGATGATTTGTGAAGCAGCTGGAAGCAGTGTCATTTGAGGGGCAAAGATCCAAGCATAGAAAGCAGTATTCATGTCCTTTGTATAAATTCATTTGAAAAAAAGTATAATTTTCAATACTGGTTTGCGCTGGAGGGGAATTTGCTTGGCTTGGAAAATGGTAGCTTGAAGGTTGCTGAATTTAGACTGAATCCACATGACTTTACATCACTTGTTCATGTTAAATAACATTTGCCTCTCCTGTGATGCTATGTTACCTGAAAACACATACTTCTTTCAAAGTATAATAAATTCCAAATCTTGAAGCTTTCAATTCTCCTTGTTTTTACTACATTTAGGTGATAGTGATGGGAGCTACTAATCGCCCTCAGGATCTTGACTCTGCTATTATGAGAAGGATGCCCACAAGATTTCACATCAACCAACCTGTAAGCAATTGAGAATTAACAGCAGTGGGTTTCATGTCGTCTGTCCCCCCAGGTTATATGTTTTACAGCTTGAATGCTTTTATCTTTATACTTATAGACACTTTTCTGCTCAGAGGGGCCCTAGAACAAAACGGAATGGACTAATAAAAATATAATATCCATAGTAATGGAAAGGAACAAATAGCAGACATAGCAATAAAAGTGGAATCTCAAACAGCATAAAACTACATCTGCAGCATGCAGTAGCCATAGGAAAACATAGCAAATAAAACTGATATAAGGACTATTAGTCTTGCTTGGGGAAAAGAGCTACAAAGGGTCAGCACAGAAACTAAAAGCCCTTAGCTATTATCTCTATAAATTGTGGCTCCAACTGTAATATAGTTGGCCCTTAACCTTTGCAGGAACTAGGGGCATAGGATCTGTCGAAATCACAGACGCCTTAAAGGGCCAGACTCAGAGTTTATTGAAGCAAAGGAAAAAGACTCAGACACTTAACTCAATGCCTCTGGTCAAAACTCAAAGGTAAAACCAGTCCTGGTTCAAAAGGGTAAACAAAAGTATAATCCGGATTAGTCAGATAAAAACCGAATCAAACAAAGTTCTCCGAGGTCACACAAAGAAAACACAGCATGCAACTGGTAAACAAAAGCAGAAAAGCTGCAGGGAGAGAATCGTAGTCAAGCGAAGTCCAGGGTCGTAGCAAGAGAAGTCTGAAGTAGCAAAGTTTCAAAGTCCACAGAAGCAGCGTCATAGTCAAGCCGGTCTAAGGTCAAGGAAGGGGGAAATCCACTCTCACGAGAATCCAATCCGAGTCAAAAGCACACACGAACAGGAGCAGCAACCTGCAGATCCCAAACCCAATGCTGAACATGAAACAGGCAGCGACAAGTCCAGACAGTACCCAATGCACGAACGTATACAACACCTTGCCTTCTGCAAAGATCCCCCATTCCTGAACCCACTTTTATTACACATAATCGTCATCAAAAGATGAACAGACCACCGCCCCATGATTATCCCTTGCAGTTGCTCCCAACTCTTCACATGAAGTCCTACGCCCATCCCTCCATCTTCTCCATCTCCTGTCAAGACTTAGCTCCCCCCAAGACTCAGTTGTATTCCTCGATTGCCAATCTTCACTTCCAGAGAATCCCATAAATGTATCACTAGATATTGGCTCCGCACAAACAACTTGCACCTCCTTTACCTTAGTCCAATCCACAGTGTCATCCCCGTTTTCCCCACTCTGTGACCCATCATCCCCAGAGAAACCCTCAAATGATTCCTCATCTGTAGGTGCCGTAAGTATATCCCGGATCCTCTTCCTTTGTTGCTTCTCATCCAATTCTTGCTCCCGAGTAACCCTTTTTCTTCCTCTATTCCCATCCATTGTGTCTCCCTCCTCTCCTTCACTCGTTGACCCTTCATCCCCAGAGAACCCCTCAAATGAGTCCTCATCTTTAGGTGCCATAAGTATATCCCAAATCCTTTTCCTCTGTTGTTCCTCATCAGACTCCTGCTCACGAGTAACCCTTTTTTCCCCTTCTGTCACCCATACTACTGCTTGCAACGTTACTTACAGGCTCTACTACAACAGGATCCTTGTGAAAGTAGGAAAACAAAAAAGTCTTAACACCCACACTCACCCTTCTCAAGTGTGCTACAGACTGTGCTTCTGCAAAAATATCCATTAGTGTCATCATCCTTCTCAAGGAGAAGGAAAGAAAGGATGATGGCATTGAAAGAGTGGACAGTCAAGTTGGCAGTGCAAGAAGAGGGATAGGACCATATGTCAATGTTATGAAATCACGAGAATTGCAGTTTCACAATCCTTCTCTCTCAACGAGTGCTAGAGCCTCACCAAATTGCAAATCCTCAGGAGCCCATAGCATTGAGCCCTGACAGTTAAAGGAGTGTGAAATGACTCTAATTCAACAGTGTAGACACACCCTAAGACTGCATTTCTCCTACCCTGTCTGTAGTTGGAAGACCCACGGTCGTGAATGGGAATTGTACAACAACTTGCTTCCATGCCAAGTGCAGTAGAGGACCTAACTAGAAAACTTGCATTGTATTGCAAAATTATTGTGGCATTTCCGTTTTATTATGATGTTGTGTTTTGTTTTTGATTTAAAGGCAGTGAAGCAGAGAGAAGCAATCTTGAAACTGATTTTGAAAAATGAAAATGTAAGTCTGTTTTGCTATAACTCTTCCTAATACCATATAATTTGAAACCGATTTTGTGTTCTTCTTTAGTGTTGAAAAAGTGTAGGATACATGGCAGGCAGACACCTCACTTGGGTGGACGTTTTATTGTATGGTGTATATCTTATTTATTCTCCAATACAGCTTTGATTTAAAGTAAAGACATTTAATTTGGAGGCAGGATTATACCCATATTATTGTTCTTTGCCAAACCCCAAAATGAACAATGTGATAAACCACTTCGTTCTATCTTAGCTGGGAATGTTAGTCACTGTTTAAATGTGTCAAATTGCAATTACATATGCTGCTCTTTGTGTGCTGTTAGGTGGACAGTGAAGTGGATCTCCGCGAAGTTGCTAGAGACACAGATGGGTTCTCAGGAAGTGACTTGAAAGAAATGTGCCGTGATGCTGCACTAATATGTGTCAGAGAATATGTTAATTCTACATATGACGAAAGGTAAGTCAGTCATACTAAAAGAAAGTTTTAGAACTTACTGGACAATTTGGCAGCTCTTTTTACGGGGAAAGGGTTCTTAGAGAAAGCAACTTGAGATATAGCTGTTCACACTTAGAAAAGAAGGAAGATTTGGGTGGCATGGTTAACTTTTGTACGATAAAGTTAGAGCACATACTGAGTTTTAAAACCATTGTATTTGACTGGCTCTTCTGAAAGTTTGATATAAAACACCGCCCTAAAAATTATATTAGTTACTTCATCATATAAAGGTTTTCCAGAAAATAATATGTTAAAATCAAAAGCTATATTATGATACTGCTTTCTGTTTGAACCAAGATAGAATCTTAAATCAAAAGTGGTACTTTTCAAGAAAGATGTAAATCTTCGGTTTTATTCTTACATGCAACTTTAAAGGAGATTTAATTAAGATAAGAGAAACTTCTGAATGAAGGAATAGCTACAATCAGGTGTGTTTATGTACTTGTTGGAGGATGTGGATATTTATAACTACAGCAAAAATAGTTTGGTTGCCTTTGTTGGAATAGACAGTTCAGCAACTTGAGGTTCAGGTATCTAAAGGTAAAGGTTTTCCCTGACATTAAGTCTAGTCATGTCTGACTCTGAGGGGTGGTGCTCATCCCCTTTTCTAAGCCGAAGAACCGGCGTTGTCCATAGACACCTCGAAGGTCATGTGGCCAGCATAACTGCATTGAGTGCCATTACCTTCCCACAGAAGCGGTACCTATTGGTTGAGGATGGATGAACTGAAGGAAGGAAAGAGAGGATGGATGAACTGAAGGAAGGAAAGAGAGAGAGAGAGAGAGAGAAGAAAAAGTGAGAGAAGAGAAAAAAGGGGGAAAAGGAAAGGAAAGCAAAGAAAGAAAAGAGAGGGAGAAGGTATACAAGAAAAACGGTAGAAGAAAGAGCCATAAAGAAAGCCTACCCACTTCAGTAACACACACCTTTGCAAAATCTGCTAACCTGCTTTTTTTTCTTAAAGCAATGACGATGATGAAATCCGTCCAGTGAAACAGAAAGACCTGCAACGGGCAATTGAGAAAATGAGGAAGTCCAAGGAGGCAACAAATCAGAACGTTCTAATGCACGTCAGTTTAGATTAAGGCTAAACCGCGTGGCGCCGTGGCCTATGGCCTCTTTTGGGGACTGGTTATGCCACGTAAATAGTGGAAATCAATTGGAAGCAGGAATATCCTTTTAATAAGTGTTTCTGGAATTGTTTTTATATATGCTGTTACCTAAATTATTGAAATCTAGTAATCTTGCAAAATTGGATACGGCCTGTGGGATCGATCATGGCATGGAAGAATGTAGTCCAGCTCAAAAGCAATGTCTTGTTTCCTTGTTGTGGCCTTAAAAGCCGACTGTCAGTGGGTTCTAGTGTGGCATAATGGTCTACGGAGGATCAGAGCAGAGCCTATGTACATATGTATGAGACAGTGTGCAGTTTTGATACACAGACATAATATGTAGATAACTTGAATATGAAAAGCCGCCTTTTTTTTTTTTTTGCATTTGTTTTCTGGGTTAAAGTGCATCAGATGATTAAAAGGTTCAGCACACGCTTATCTATTTTTGTGGAGTTACCTTAATGCAAAGCCAGAAAACATGTTTTTGGAAATTATCTTGTTTCTTTCTTGGAATGCAGGGAAATCTGACCTCCTTTTTGCAACATTAACTCGTGGGATCCGCTGGTGCCATTTATTTAGCTAGAAAACACTTTGTGAACATTTTGATTTTATACGAATCCTATAAATTGTTATTCTTTCCTTTTTTAAAAAGATATGTTTTGTACAGTCAGGGTTAAGCAGGGTGGAGCACTGGCAACATTTATTTTTTCTATTTCTGAATTGTGAATTATTTCCGAGAAATAGCCAACAGGAATGCTCCTGTTACAAATTTCTTTTTTACTACTGTAGTGCTTGCTAGCAGCTGCAATTGGTCACAACACAAATCACTGCGTTAAGTTCATTGTTTTAAAAAGTTTTAGTTCCTTTTCTCCCCCCAGACTTCCTAAATGGAGGTGTTCTTCATGCGTTTTCCAGTGGATAGTTAGAATTAATAACTTTCAAATTTCCTTAATGGAAGAGGTGATAACATTGAGATGTCTTTCAGGGATAATATTAAAATTGAATTTATTGTCGAAGGCTTTCATGGCTGGAATCACTGGGTTGTTGTAGGTTTTTCGGGCTATATGGCCATGTTCTAGAAGCATTCTCCCCTGGCGTTTTGCCTGCATCTGTGGCAAGCATCCTCAGAGGTTGTGACTTCACAACCTCAGAGGATGCTTGCCATAGATGCAGGCGAAACGTCTAGAACATAGCCATATAGCCCGAAAAACCTACAACAACCCAAAATGAATTTAATTTTCTTGACCTACTTAAAAAAATCTTGTAGAGTGACCAGTTACAACTTCCGTAATCAAAACAACAAAGTGTCCGGGACATACGCAAATTTGTCATGAGATCTCCTTTTTTTTTTTTTCTTTTTTGCATATTAACAGAAAGCATTGGAAAGTATGTAAAAACCAATACTAATGTAACTGGCTGATTCTAACATTGCGTCGTTTAGGTTCATAGCTTTACTTCACTGTTCTTGCAGGTGCTACTTTATGGTGTAACCACTTTGTATAAAGCACAGGATGTTCTTTATAAACTGAACCAGACTGGTTTGCTCTTGAATTTACCCTCCCCGTGAAAGAAAAGAAAAAATGATCAAGTGRAAAATGGTTTGTGACTAAGAAAAACACAAGACGTCCATGGTGTATGATAATTTATTCACAAGTATATATATATCACATTTATTCTACAAAGAGTTTCATTTCAGTCAGAACTTTCTTCTTTCAACTGGCCAGACTAGAGATGGGAAGGCCTGGGGGGGGGGGGGACTGGGAAAATTGGGAAAAACTGGGTTTTTTCCCAAAGTCATTTTTCTTCTGGAAAAATTGGGGGGCGGGGGATTGTGTAGATGGAAAAAAAATCCTCAAAGATCTTTCATTAAGGTCKTCTTCTTGTTACTTAGTTTGAATAATTGGAAAAGAATATATTCTACACCAGGCATGGGCAAACTTTCTAACTTGAGGGCCGCATGGCGGGCCAGAGCAGGATGGGCAGACTGGGATGGAGTTCTCTGCCTCCTTTTCCTCCTACTCCTTTACAGCCACTCCTTCCTCAATGGTAGGTTCCCCTTGGAAAGAAGAACAGGAGCAGGAGGGAAGGGAAGGAGACCCTGCAGGGTATGTCAAATCCTTCTCTTGGCAAGCGGCTTCCCAGGGCTCTCCTTTTCCCCTTCCCTCCTGCTCCTTATAATAATAATAATAATAAATAAAAATATAATATTTGTTTGTGGGATTAACATAACTCAAAACCACTGGAGGAATTGACACCAAATTTGGACACAATACACCTATCAGGCCAATGAGTGTCCATCACTCATAAAAACACTGAAAAACACAGCAGAAGAGACTTAAAAAGCCAAAATCCCCCAAAAAACTTATTTTCCCTGTAGTCCTCCTTTGGACCACAGTATGGGCCGCCTCTTGAAGGCCCTTTCCTTGTGGCCAGTGTGTCTTCCCAGAGTGACTTTCCAAGGGGGAACCTGCCCTTGAGGAAGGTGGTGGAAGAGGAGGCGGAGGAAGAGCTTTGGAACACCCTCCCTATAGAGGTACGATCAGCCTCTTCGCTGATGGTGTTTAGGAAGAGATTGAAAACATGGTTGTTTAAACAAGCATTGGGCTAATCTGTGGCAATCGAATTTTGATGACTAAGGACAGGAAATATGGACAACGAATTCTGGATTATGATTTTAATTCGAGATATATGGGATTATTATTGGTGGCCCAATAATCTGTACTGTATGTGTATATGTTTTTAAATTAGAGATTGTTTTTTAATTGCTGTAAACCGCAATGAGTCGCCGATCCAGGCTGAGATATTAGCGGTATACAAGTGTATTAAATAAATAAATAAATAAATAAGAGGAGCCACACCACTCATCACCAGGGGCAGAGGCTGGGAAGAAGGGGAACATGCCAGCAAGTACCAACAGGCCAGGAAGAGGCTCTTCCTGGGACTGGTGCTGAGGCCATGGGTGGCTGCCCCAGCCGTCCTCTCAGCATGAGGATGTGGTGGGCCGCAGCATTCTCATGCTGATGGTGCAGTGAGAGAGAGGAGGGCCTGAGAACAGAGCTCAAAGGTCTGCATCTGGACCCTGGGCCTGGGTTTGCCCATACTTGTTCTATACACTTTTCAATTTTCCCAGAAAAAAAACAAAACCTTTTTCTTCCATTTTTTGGGTTTTTTCCCAGGCTTTCCCATCTCCATCAACTGATATTTCAGCCTAAGATGGGAGGAGAGAGTGGCAAGACATATCTTTGTGTTATAAAGCATGTCTGCCTATATGCCAATAGTTTTTCTTGATACTCCTCTCCAAAAATGGCCACAGAAAGTCCCCAAATTGTGTGTAGTTGATTTGAATATGACTGAACAACTTGTGGGGGATTTTCTGTGGGTGTGGGTATTTTTTTAACAAAGGGAATGTGGCTCTTTTCTTAAATTTAATCTTCAGAAGCCACTATCTCTATTCTACAGATGAGAACCTCTAGAGCAGTCATGGGCAAACTTTGGCCCTCTGGTAGGCTGTTAGGAATTGTGGGAGTTGAAGTCCAAGACACCCGGAGGGTCAATGCCCATGCTTGCTCTAGAGGCTGGTTCTACAGAATTTTTAAAAAAAAAAACCAAAAAGCTTTAGAATATTTCCTAATGTCCATGTACTTGTGGATTTCAGCCACACTGCGCATGAGCACAGAGATGGCATTGCTTTGTAGCGAGTGTCCATCTTATCAAACCATTTAGGAAGCTATTCATGTAAATAGCTTTTGCACAAATGAATCCTGGGACATGGCCATCTATAGCAGTGGTTCTCATTCTCTGGGTCCCCAGGTGTGTTAGCCTACAACTCCCAGAAATCCCAGCCTGTTTACCAGCCGTTCGGTTTTCTGGAAGTTGAAGGCCAAAACATCTGGGGACCCACAGGTTGAGAACCACTGATCTATAGGTAAATTGTGTCAAGCACTTGCTATGTATAGTCTTAAATATATTGTTTGCCATTTTATTTCTGATGACCATGAATGTTTGTGTTTTGAGATAATGAATGGCTCCCCCCCCCCCCCCCCCCCCCCCCCGCCTATCCTCTCATTTCTATTTTATTCCATTCCTTTCAATCAATGAAACCACAGAATGCAAACGAATAACATTACTTGGGCACTTTATCGAGGTGCTGTTTGTTTGCATCACTTACTAAAGAAGAGTTTTGTACGGGGATGTTGGCATAACAGCAAGTCCTAGCTTTATGCCTTCTACACCTATTCCAAACATAAATGTACACTCACCACAATTTTCTTCAGCAGGAACAGATTTACTGGATATTATTTCTTGTGACCAAATACATTAATTTCATTGTGTCTTAAAATACTACATAAGCACAAAAAAAAAACCCCACACCTAGATAAAAGCAATGGAAGTTAAGCCATTAATTTTGTGGGGGATGTGTTGCGCCTGATTTGTAAAAGTTTTCATCCCCTTTCCAGTTGTTTTTCTTCCCCTCTTCTTTAGGGAGACATGTTTCAAGGCTGTTTCCAAATTGTGTTTCTCTATACCAGTGGTTCTCAACCCAGGTGTTTTGGCCTACAACTCCCAGAAATCCCGGCCAGTTTACCAACTGGGTTGTGTGTTTTCTGGGCTGTATGGCCATGTTCTAGAAGCATTTTCCCCTGACATTTTGCCTGTATCTATGGCAGGCATCCTCAGAGGTTGTGAGGCGAAACGTCAGGAAAGAATCCTTCTGGAACATGGCCGTACAGCCCAGAAAACACACAACAACCCAGTGATTCCAGCCATGAAAGCGTTCGACAATAGAGTTTACCAGTGTTAGGATTTTAGGATTTCTGGGAGCTGAAGACCAAAACATCTGGGGACCTATAGGTTGTGAACCACTGCTCTGTACTGACCAAAGGCTGTAGCGACTCAGGAAATTCAGCAAGAGTGTCTTCTGCGTGCACAGGAGAACTAAGTTGCACTGGATAGTAGAAAACTCTTCTTTTTGTGCAAAGCAGAGTTCTATTTTTGCCTCACATCTACAGCAGCCTCCATGCAGTGTTTGTAGGCCCAACAACCATCAAAAGCAGCTTTGAATTATGTGCTGTTTGCTGACAAAAAGCTAGCACGGAATTCAAACGTGCCTATTAGCAAAAACACAGTAGAAAAAGATCTAGTTGTGGCACTACATTAAAACTAAAAAAAATTATAAGGAAATTAAGATGATCTTACTAAGGGAAAAAAACCAACCTGTTTAGTCTAAGCTCATTTCCAGCAGTACTTACTTAGCTTTTGTAGGCCTGATTTACTGTTTGAGTCAGGAACCACTGCAAAGTTTCCAATGGACTTCTATAATGGAAAATATTTTTGGAATATTTCATTGGCTGATGCTCCTCTAGTTTTGTTCCCCACCCCCTTTCCAATATATTTCATATATATATGTATGCAGTTGGAGGCCATGTTTCTTTAGTGCCAACAAATAGTAATCAGTATTCATCTTATAGAATCGAGCAGTCCTTCATACTATGAAAAGCGCTAATTATTGCATCCTCTTTCTATTCTTGATATATGATGTGTGCTGATAGAAGTTTATGGTTTTTGGGAACTTGCTCCAAAGGGGGAATAGTTTTATCTGAAAGGTCCTTTTTATCAATTTTCATTCTCAAATGCAAATATTACAGTGTTTTAAGAAAAAATATAATGGCCCGACTTCCAAGATATGTGCGCTTTAGAGAAGTATGGAAGGTCTATGCAAAAGCTCTACCTGGTTGGGGAGAAGTTCTCAACCTTCAGCACTTCTTTCCCCTGTAGTGTACCATGCAGTACAACTAATATTGTGTGAATTGGACTTTTACTTTTTTTTGTAATCATGTCAGAAGCGACTTGAGAATATACTGCAAGTTGCTTCTGGTGTGAGAAAATTGGCTGTCTGCAAGGACATTGCACAGGGGATGCCCGGGTGTTTTACGATCCTGTGAGAGGTTTCCCTCATGTCCCCACATGGGAAGCTGGGGCTGACAGATGGGAGCTCACCTCATCTCGCCATTTTTGGTATGCCATTTTTTTTCTTTACGTTCTACCCTTCCCCTGAATATATTGTAGCAGCATTTTGCCTCCCTTCTCATGTGGCCACTATAAGCATGAACTTACTTTATATTTGTAGAACAGCTGTTAAGTTTTTCCCCTGGTTTTGGATTATTATGTTTAATTTTACTCAGTGCCAAGAGTGGGCAACTATGGTGGTTGAAGGGAAGTGCATGGAATGTCAGATTTTCTATCCTTGGGAACCTCTCGGGATAGGGGTTGCAAAAACAATAAATAGATAGTCTACTCTTGGTTTTTAAAAATCATTTTTTAAAAATTGAATTATAACTTCTGTTTAGTCTGCTGTCTTCTAATCTGTTTAGTCTGCTGTCTTCTCTCCACATTTTCAGGGGTTATGAGCACAAGACACCCACAAAACAACAACAAAAAGGCAAATAAATAAGCATCGTATTTTTACCTGAGAGAACACATCTCTAGGAATCCCCAGGTCCTCCATCATGACTCTATAGTTCATCCCTGCCAGCTGCTGACCATAGAGTTTCAGTGAAGGGCATAAGGATCCCTGATTAAATCTGCAAATCTAGTCCAAAAAAGTGAAACACGTAAATATGGGGGGTTGGGAGCAACTGTACCGGTGGTTTTAGGTAGTTGGAAATACTAAGTTGGGTCCTACCTCCTAATCATAGTAGTGCAGACCGCTATTCCCCACCTCCCACAAACATGTGATGTAACAAGTGAAACTTCAGTTACATGCTAAGGTTCAATACATATAACACTTTTAAAAAGTGAAATTCAGTCATACAAATATACGTGTCATGTACATTCTCCTGGAGATTGTGGGGTCTTCCATGCTTGTCTATTGTTCGCATCAGCTCTGCCCAATATAGATAATAGTGAGGAATTAAGGGAATTGCATTCCAACAACATTGAGGAGCTGCACATTAAAGATGTTAATTTTTTTTCTCAAGGGGAAGCATTTTCTTCCTAGTATGAAGAGAGTCTTTGGAAACTGTTCACGTTTTGAAGACTATTTGCACAAAATTTGCATTTAGGGTTTTTGTTTTGTTTTTGCACAGAAAGCGTTTTTCTTCATGGGAAACAAAATGTTCCTGCATATTAAAAAGTGGCAAATGTAGTGTAATACTTACAATTTTTGAGCATTTGTGCATGGAACAGCATTTTCTACACAGGGAATACTATGATTTTTATTTCTGCACAAATTTGTAACACACTTGGCTGTTTGGATGTTTCTCCTCCATGAAGTTTTGCACAGAAGAAGTTTCAAACAGCGAGGATTCTTGTAGGTCCATGTTTCTCTATGTCAGTGTTTCCCAATGCTTGAAAATCATCTTTAACCATTTTTGGAATATTCTTTCCATTTCTATCACACACGCCACTCCTGTTCTTTGTCATGCTCCTGCTTCTTGCCCAATTATGTGTATCATTGAATGGCTGTTTTTGCTTGTTCATCCGCTATTAACAGAAGATCTAGAAAACAAGTCCAAGGTGGTCTTCAGAATACTAAAGTTGGAATTTGTGGACCCTTATTTTGAAACTTAAACATTTTCACTTTGCATAAGTGGACTTCCTTACCTGAAGGTTTACTTATTGGAGACTTTGATGTGGCTTTGATGGCTGTAAAATGTAGGCAGCAAACAACACATTCGGTCACTCGGCACACTTGTGCTATATCTCAAAACCAAAATTGACTTCCTGATCAAATCAAAGAGCATAACTAAGTCTGTTTCATTGTTGAAAGCATATGTAGGAGCACCTTCCAAAATCCAAAAATAAGTGGTCTTGACTGCATTTGAATAGATAATAAAGCAATAAATGTGACATAATTGTAGCAGAACATTTGCACCTGTGTTTTTTCTATGTGTTGCTACAGCTGAGCTTCTCGTCCGGTTTTGTGGATCACGCAAAGCTACATGTACGCCCTCCACAATGGCTTTGTGTAAATTGGAAGAGAAGAAATAAAGCTATGTGTGGCCTGAAGCCCAACATTGTCTTTGTATGTGTCTACATATCATAAAGGGGTAGGTTTAACCCAGTGGTTCCCAACTTGTGGTCTGTGGACCACCAGTGGTCCACAAAGACTAAAATATGGTCTACCGCCTGACCGTTACCACACCATTGCTACCAGAGCAACTGATCTCACAAAACTTTGTTGTGGTGCCGAGGCACTATGTGATTTTTTGTGGGTGAGCAGATGGCGACTACTGGATGGCGTATGTTCTGTATCAGAAACTAGAGCTGATGTGGTCTATCCAATGCAGTTTTCTGAATCAGCACCCCAAATAACCAAACCCAATCTAAAGTTGACCAAAAACTGATTCATAACCCTTTTGGTACTAATGTTGTAGTGTGATCCCTGGTCAAAGCGGCTCCTGGTAAAAATAAAAGGTTGAGAACCACTGGTTTAATCTCTGGTTTGCATGAAATGATGTGTGTCTAAAATGTGTGTCACCAAAATGAAATGTTTGGAAAGCACTTGGCTAATTGCTGAAGGCAATATTTGGATCAGAATTGTCCATAGCCAGGGAAGAATATTATTGGATTTGGTTTAATAGCAGTGTAAATTAATCTTTTACCATCAGTATTCAACCATCATGTCTCTGGGCCTGGAACAAAGTTGTAACAACCCTTTTCCCCAGCCACCACCTTTTCCATGGAAAAATTGGTGACCAGTAGGCTTGTTTGATCCAAAAAAAATGGTTCAAAACTCATTTTGAATGTAGGGAGTGCTGGCAGTTTGATTGTAAAATCAATTCCGATTTTCACAGAAAAAAATGTTCAAAACTTTTTGAAACTTCTGAGACTTCTGAATCCTTTATTTAATGGCTTGAAAGTGTTATTTCCTGTTTCATTGGGTTATATTTACTTTGAAAGTAGTTGTTTTACTCCAATAGCGAGGAAAAACAAGCAGAGGAAATTCCTTCTCCGGTTTAAAACTGGCTTCTCTGGCTTGAGCCAGAAGCAGGAAAAGAAAACGGAGGAAATTCACCCTTCTCTGGTTTAAAACTGGCTTCTCTGGCTTGAACCAAAAGTGGGAAAAGAAGACGGAGGAAATTCACCCTTCTCTTGTTTAAAACTGGCTTCTCTGGCTTGAACCAAAAGTGGGAAAAGAAGATGGAGGAAATTCACCCTTCTCTGGTTTAAAACTGGCTTCTCTGGCTTGAGCCGAGGCCAGGGACCAGAAGCAGGGGGAAAGCTGAATCATTTCCGACTCACTTCCTGAGTTGGAAAAAAATGGCAAGACTAGCTTCAGAAGGGCAAGGGGACTTCCGGTTTCCTTAAAAAGTTCAAAACCACGTCAAAAAGGTAATTTTTCCGGCTTTATTCTGAATAATGAAGATTCTGACTGGACCTAACCATGCTTAGTGACCAGTGCAATTTCAAATCCTTTAGTTTAAGCTCCTCATATTTTTAATTATTTGTATTTATACTAAGGTATGTTATGAATTAGCCATGAATACAAGTGCCCTTTAAATCTTGCTCCCTGTTAATGTAGCAGATCTGTTTCTCAGACTTTTTGTCTTCATTCCTGTAGAAATGTTGCTTCAGTATAACATGCTTGTGCTAGTCCTTATTATTTATTTAGAAAATTTCTACCCAACCCAACATTCAGTGAACGTTTCCAATGCTGATTCCATTCTACTCACTTCTCATGTATGTTTAAAACTTCCCCCCTGTAAAAGTCAAACCCACAATTGCAGTTGTCAATATTCTGTTGTTCGTTGTTTTTTTTTTGTATCGGGAGCGACTTGAGAAACTGCAAGTCGCTTCTGGTGTGAGAGAATTGGTTGCCCAGGGGACGCCTGGATGTTTTACAATCCTGTTGGTATTCTGTTAAGGATTTCAAAGTTTTTTTATGACATCACTGCTTTAGCTGTATATATTTCAGGGAATAGGTAAAGGTAAAGGGTAAAGGTTTTTCCCTGATATTAAGTACAGTCATGTCCAACTCTGGAGGTTGGTGCTAATCTCCATTTGTCAGCCGAAGAGCTGGCATTATCCATAGACACCTCCAAGGTCATGTGGCCAGCATGGACTGTATTCCCTGCAGCATGACCGCAGGGAATACAGAACAGATTTCAGCCATTCAGATATGTGAATAAAACATCACAAGAAATTAAACAAGAGAAGTATTTATTGATGCTAAAAGTGAATTTTATTAAAAGACCAAATTCAGTAGCTATTTTACTCAAGAGCAGTATCAGCAAAGGCATACATTTCCAGTCTGACGTCTGTAATAAATATGCTATAAAATGTTACAGGCTTTCAAATTTAAAAGGAATAGTACAACACATGTATTTGGACATGATCGTGAACATAGTATTATCAGATTTTTAAAAAAGAGAAAATATATCAGCACTATTTAAACATTCAGTTAAATTAAAAATGGCAAGATTACATCGGTTTTCAAGGTCCCTTCCAGAGGGCTTGGTTATAAAAGGCACTGTTGTCAATATACATTAGCTAGCAATATTGCAATGGGAGCCCTCCACCTGGCACTGTTGGGGTGCGATACCTTTAGTGCAGTGTGGCTCCCATGTAAGTACAGAGTGCAGGTTGCATGCCTGGGATGATTTGTCCAAAGGCTGCATTCGATTTACACAAAGTGTGTGCAATAAGACACATTTTTAGTTCTTTTTTTTTTCTAAGGATTGAAAAGCTTTACAAGCTGGTAACATTTAAGCATTCAGTACTATAATGTTAAGACTACAAAACTGTCACCATTGAACAATTGCTACACAAAACAAGGCAATCATTTCACAGTCTTTGCAAATAATTTTTATTCGTTTGCATAGAGAAAAAAAGGAAATCCTGATTTATTTTTTGAAACTTGCAATTTGGATTTTGGGCCAGTGCTTAGACAAATGACCAGCACAATCCAATTTTATTTCATAAATTGGGGAAGAGATTCTTATTTACCTTAGGTAGTAAAATGCCTGGCTTAGGGGAATGTGCAATTTGATTTGGGGAAGAGTACCACTTGTGTCTCTGCCAAAGGCAGAAAAATGTTTTGTGGTAACCCTGCCACCACTACTCAACCTTGAAACACTTCCCAGAAACTTCCAATTTCCTTAAAGCAGTGAAAATCACCATCCTAAAATGATACAGATTGAGTATTCCTAATCCAAAATGCTTTTTTTTTCATGTCGGGAGCGACTTGAGAAACTGCAAGTTGCATCTAGTGTGAGAGAATTGTCCGTCTGCAAGGGAGCCTGGAAGTTTTATCATCCTGTCGGAGGCTTTTCTCATGTCCATGCATGAGAAGCTGGAGCTGACAGACAGGAGCTCACCCCACTCTCTGGATTCGAACTGCCACCCTTTTGGTCAGCAGTCCTGCCAGCACAAGGGTTTAACCCATTGCGCCACTGGGGGCTACATCCAAAATGCTTGAGATCAGAAGTGTTCCATATTTTAGGGTTTTTTCCCTCCAGATTTCTGAGTAATTGCATATGCTTAAGGAGATATCTTGGAGATTGAAGTCATGCCTAAACAGGATATTCATTGATATGTCATACACACTTTATATACATAGCCTGAAAATAATTATATACACAATATTTTAATATTTTGGGCATTGTTTATCATGTCAGAAGCAAATTGAGGGTGTGAGAGAATAGTTGCCTAGGGGGTGCCCAAATGTGTTACCATCCTGCAGGGGGCTTCTCTCAGGTCCCCGCATGGGAAGCTGGAGCTGACAGATGGGAGCTCACCCTATCTCGCGGATTTGAACTGCCAACCTTCAAGGCAGCAGTTCAACAGGCACGAGGGTTTAACCCATTGTGCCATCACGGCTCATTTTGGGCATGTGTTGAAACATGCGAAAGCACTATCTCAGCCTCCAACATGCATGATTTTGGATGTCAGGATTCCAGATAAAGTATGCTCAACCTGTAAACCTTTTTGTGCCCTAAAACAGCGAAAGAAACATTGGAATGTTGTGAATTGTTACCCTTAAGGAGGTACCCTGATGACTTGGGGTACCAATTCCCAATCTTTCTATGGAAAATCAAAATAAAACATGCTGGTATCACGAAATACTCAGAAAGGGAAGTAAAAAAGCTGTGTTGTTTTGGAAAATAGAAAGAGAGAATTGGAATTCAGCACCAGCCATTATGTCTGGCTTGTTTGTCCTTTGCAGCCAATGAAGAGCATCAAAGAACAGATAAATAGTTTTCAACTGCATAATTGAGACATCCCAGTTCCCAAAGGCTCTTGACAAATCATAATATGGCTTTTCACTCCCATACCCTAAATCTACATTGGTCTATGTACAATCAAATCCCCTTTGTGGCTCTTCTTCTGAAATGTATAGAAGACTCTAGTAAATTCAGAGTGGAAAACAGTTGAACGAGAACCACTATTGACTTCATGAAGAAAATGCCCACAAAATACAGTAGGGAAAACAAATCAAAGTAGATGAAGTATAATAGCATATAAATCAAACAGAAGGGGGCTCATTTTTTTTGAAAAAACGAAGGCACTCTTTGGTAAAAACAAAAATTAATTATTTTTCCCCAGGGATGTGTAGTATTCTGTCAACACCTTCCATGCTTTTGGAGCCATGAATCCATCAGGAGGGTTTTCACCATCGCGGGCCAACTTCCTCATGCGTGTGCCAGAAATGAAGTCAAATTCATTGTGTCTAGTAAGAAAAAAATTGTATTCATAATGATGCTGTGATCGGAAGTGACCCCCCCCCCCTTCCAGGGCTCTGTAAAAGATAGTTCAAAATCAGGGAATTCATAGTTTTGCCAAGGACACTAGGCTGAATTGATCCCATAATCCCCTATCTCTCCTCCTGTTTTTATGAATGGACTCCGACTACTCAGTGCTCCCCTGAACTTCCATGCACCCCCCCCCCCATGAACTCTTATGAGTTCTTATGAACTTTATAGGAATTTTTATAAACTCTTGTCAAACTTTATGAACTTTTATGAACTTTGGGGGCTGACATGACTTCCCCTTAGACCCTGCATGATTCCCTTTTCCTATGAACTCTGTGTATGCTCCCTTGTCCCATTCCCTATATGTATGTATGTCTATATAAGAAAATATGAAGGAAAGCAACCTTTTCATGAACCAGCAATCCATGGCTCAATAATCCCCTAACAAAGGATTTCACCAAGCCCATTTGCATGGACAATAAGTAAATGGCTCTGTCTGACCGGACCTCGGAGGGCTAATAGCCAGGCCATCCAGAATTATGGGGTCTATGGACACTTTGGATCACCCAATACAAAGGACATCTCTCCATCTGCGAGGAACCGGGGATTTGTCATCCACCTCCCTGCTGTGCCACATCCTGATCTCCCGAAACTAGCATCTACTTCATCAATAAACTCCATATGGCAGGACAGTGTGACAAAGGACCTGGCCTCTCGGGGCTAGATAAGAATGTTAATTCAAGGAATCAAACAATAATCTAGGCTAGGCTTGAGAGCCTAAAGCTATCACCCAGCCATTTGGCAAACACCGGCCATTCTTAATCCAGTCAACTAGACATTTCTTCATTGTTTCCCTGTTGCTCACCTCCCTCCCACTTCATTGGCTGAGTGGCCAAAGCAGGGCCAGGCGCTATTGGCTCTCCTGTTGGCTTGCTGATGTCACAGCCAATCATAACAAAGCCAGCTCAGGGGGGAGGGGGTTGGTGGGCATGGGAAATTTTGAATCTGAAGTCTATAAATATTGTATCTCTCTGCCCAATGGGCATGTTGATTTTTTGGCAGGCTACTGCCATCATCATCCTTTTCCAGCTGGAATGAAATAAAACCTTGGTGGCTTTCTCTTCAATTTGGTGAGATTATGAACAATTTATTTCTTCCTTAGGTTTTTTTGTTTTTTTCTTCTTTTTTTTCTATTAGGGGTGCGGATCTTTAGTTTATTTTAAACCGCACACTATTCTATTCTTTCCTACTTCTCTTTCTATAAAACATTTGTTTTCCCCCTCTTTCGATGTAACTATAAGAAAAAAAGGCACAATAATTTTAAAAAAAACTTGGTGAGATTTATTCTGGAACACTGGCTTCTCTTTCTCATCAGGCAACCCACAATGGCTTGAATTTCTCTATCCACAGCCACCCTAAATTGCTCAACAACAATGCTACAGATAAAATGCAGTGTCGGAAAAAGGACAAACTCTTTGCCACCCTGAGTCTTCTGTATAGCCACATTCATTTGAAATGGAGAACCATATTATGATTAAGGGACTTATTTATGCAATGTTTTGGCACAAAATAAATAAGTGTTGTTTATTTATTTTGTGCCAAAAATATTGCATAAATAAGTATAAAACTGATAAAATATAGGGAGCACAAGTGGCTAAATAATTTTTGACCAAAAACGGGCAACAGCAACCGCATTGTCTGTAGCTTTAAGCAATTCTTCCTTTGTACATGAGGCAGGACATGGTGGATAAGCATACAGATGCGGAGTTGTTCTGCTCCACAGTTGCGCAAGGTGCAACTGTGCCATTTTAGGTAGTGCCATTTTGCCAGGTTTTCTTGGTCTGCCCACTCCACTTCTGAGTATGTTCAAGGACTTCTAAGTTGCCCATTCTTGGCTTGCCCTTGGAGAGGAGCCATTCAATTGATTTCCTGTTTAGCTGCCCAAATGGATACTCTTGCTGTTGCTGGTGGAACATTAAGAGGAGTGGTGGTTCTCATGAAGCTTTTCCTTAATTTAAGTCTACTGGGAGGAAGCTGATAGCCATGCAGTGGATGGCTTTCGCAGTGATCAACCTTATTTCTTAGGTGAAAGGTTGGAAGGCATGATCACCAAGTTTGCAGATGACACCAAACTGGGATGGATAGCCAATACCCCAGAAGACAGGAGCAGAATTCAAAACGATCTGAACAAATTAGAGAGATGGGCCAAAACTAACAAAATGAAGTTCAACAGGGACAAATGCGAGATACTCCACTTTAGCAGGAAAAACAAAATGCAAAGATACAGAATGGGGGACAATGCCTGGCTCGAGAGCAGTATGTGTGAAAAAGATCTTGGAGTCCTCATGGACAACAAGTTAAACATGAGCCAACAATGTCATGTGGCGGCAAAAAAAGCCAATGGGATTTTGGCCTGCATCAATAGGAGCATAGTGTCTAGATCTAGGGAAGTCATGCTACCCCTCTATTCCGCCTTGGTTAGACCACACCTGGAATATTGTGTCCAATTCTGGGCACCACAATTGAAGAGAGATATTGACAAGCTGGAATGTGTCCAGAGGAGGGTGACTAAAATGATCAAGGGTCTAGAGAACAAGCCCTATGAGGAGTTGTTTAAAGAGCTGGCCATGTTTAGCCTTCAGAAGAGAAGGCTGAGAGGAGACATGATGGCCATGTATAAATATGTGAGGGGAAGTCAGAGGGAGCAAACCTTGTTTTCTGCTGCCCTGGAGAATAGGATGTGGAACAATGGCTTCAAACTACATTAAAGGAGATTCCATCTGAACATTAGGAAGAACTTCCTGATTGTGAGAGCTGTTCAGCAGTGGAACTCTCTCTCCCGGATTGGGGTGGAGGCTTCCTTCTTTGGAGGCTTTTAAACAGAGGCTGGATGGCCATCTGTCGGGGTGCTTTGAATGTGATTTTCTTGCTTCTTGGCAGGAGGTTGGACTGGATGGCCCATGAGGTCTCTTCCAACTCTAGGATTCATCATCAAAATTGTATTTGATGGGGACAAGGGACAGGGCCTTTTCTGTGGTGGTCCCTCAGCTGTGGAACTTCCTCCTAAGCGAAATTAGATCTTCTCCATCCCTCCTGACCTTTTGGAAACAAGTAAAATCCTGGCTAGGGAATCAGGCATTTGCAGACTAGGCTGACCTGCTGGCAAAGTGATGGTTTTAATGGACTTGACGGACGGCTTTTAGGATGATTGTTTAAATCAGCTACTGCTTGACTGTTTTTATATTGTTTTTATTTAAATTGTATATTTATGCTTTTGGTTGTGGGCACCATGGTGTGCCGGTTGTTAGCCGCCCTGAGTCCCTCTGTGGAGGTCAAAATAGGACGGGATACAAATTCCCGAAATAAAATAATTAAATAAATACTTATTGATGTCCACGGGAAAGAGAAAAAGGAACACGTAAAAGAGGGACATCTGAAATGCAAATGAGCATGCTCGCCTAAGTGGTCATTAGCGTTAAGACTCATAAGCCTGTCTTCAAATGTGTTCTGTCCCACTTGACAGCCAAGTCACTTACCTGTCTGGATCATAGAAAACCATTGCTTTCTGTACTTTGTTGTACGCAGCTACTCGGAAGGGAATGATTTCCACAGAGGTCAATCCCGGAGCCATGCTCAGCACCTTTCCACCTTGTGTGGGTTCGTACAGGTCTTTCTTGGTCTCTGGGTGGGGCATCCCAGCTGGATCTCGGCCCACAATGTAAAAGTTAGCTCCAGCGATCATTCGAGCTCTGCAGTGCCACTGGACCTAGGGTGAGAGCAACAGATTAGTGAAACAAGTCATACTATGAAAATGAGATTTTGTTTTATTTTAAATAATGGTTGACATCTGGTTCAGGAATTGCGACATCACAAGCTGGACTTACAATCTCACAACTGATGGGAATTCATTATTTATTATTGTTCACCAAAAACCTAACATTTTAATACGGACAGTACCCCAACCAAAGGGTTACCAAAGCACTGAAAATCTGAGTGCTGTGAAATAGTGGTCTGACTCCTACTTGGCAGTTACAAATACCTAACCTACGTGAACACATCCATAATTGCTATGTACTTACAATCCCAACGTAGGCCCTACTTTAAGGGCTACATAGGAAGTACGAATGTCATGTAACAGAAAGCATCTGTTGGGCTCAATGAGAGTCCATTCCCCCCTTGTTCTACAAATGGCTGTTTGACCTTTCCACCCACTGGCCCCCTGCATGAGTGACCTCTGGCATAAGGGGGGTTTGGGGCAGGGGTTCTTTTCTGCCTGTCAAGCTGTCCTAGCAAATGACCAAGCGATTGGATTTTAAGAGATGTTGAAGAGTTAATTCAGTCCAGGTCAGAAATAGAATATCCAGCAGGACAAATGGGAGAAGCAATAGATTGGTTGTCAGCCAGTTCAGAAGTAGTTTAGCAAGTAAGCTGTCCAGATAAACAAAATCGGCAAGCAGTAAAACAGAGTCATAAATTGTAGCCACTTCAAGATTGATATTGAAAAGTATTACTAGTTGCCAAGAAGGAGGGTTGAAACCAACAAAGCTGCCAGAAAATGGCTGGGAGATTTCTAAGCAGCAATTTCAAGACCCCAGGTGCCTAATCAGGTCAGGGTCTTCTACTTAACAACCACTGATAATGGTTTCTCATTCAAATAATGATGGCAATAAGTCTGAAGCATCTGCAGCCTCCAGCTGGGGAGTAGGATCCCATTCTGTCTCAATTACTGACTCCTTGGATTCTGAGAGAACAGAAGATGCTGAATCCTGGGAATATGCCTGGTCCCAATCTGAATCAAAGGCCAAGTTACAGCACATGCCAGATTATTCACAGAAGGGGTGGGAACATCAAGCATCTGCTTCAATACAGGACCTGATCCATGTTGATCTTAAAAGCTTCTTACCAATCAGTGAGATTTGTGATGGGGAAGTCTGGCCAGAATCCAGTATGTAGTACTATAGTTAGGGTGCTATTTGGTTTCTGGGGCACTACATTTTCTGTGTCCCAGAAATCCTTCATCTGGGGTGGTGTCAGACTGAAAAGGTAGGATTTTTTTGAGTAGGAGAAGGGGTTGCATCATCAGATGTAACTACAACTACAGATATCCATCATCACAACATTGTGTCTCATGATGCAGAATAATAATAATAATAATAATAATAATAATAATAATAATAGCATATACATCACATAGTCCTAAACACTTGGGAAATATCCGACGTGTGATCCAATACAACAACCAGCATAGTGATCTTGTTTGCTGTGTACTAATCTTGTGTTAAAAATAATAATAATAACAATAATAATAATAATAATAATAATATAATAATAATAATAATAATAATCCCAGATGATTATAGGAGCCCCGGTGACACAGTGGGTTAAAGAGCTGAGCTGCTGAGCTTGTTGACCAAAAGGTCGCAGGTTCGAATTCAGGGAGTAGCATGAGCTACCGCTGTCAGCCCCCAGCTTCTGCCAACCTAGCAGTTTGAAAACATGCAATGTGAGTAGATCAATAGGTACCGCTCTGGCGGGAAGGTAATGGCGCTCCATGCAGTCATGCCGGCTACATGACTCTGGAGGTGTCTACAGGTGTCTCTTTGGCTTAGAAATGGAGATGAGCACCACACCCCAGAGTCGGACATGACTGGATCTAATGTCAGGGGAAAACCTTTACCTTTACATTTACTAATCCCAGATGACAGCAGGATTGAAGAGAAACAACTGGAAAAGCTAACACGATATGAGGATTTAAAGATCAAACTGCAAAGACTCTGACACAAGACAGTCAAGGTGGTCCCAGTGGTGATCGGCACACTGGGTGCAGTACCTAAAGACCATGGCCTGCACTTAACACAATCGGTGCTGACAAATTACCATCTATCAGCTGCAAAAGGCCACCCTACTGGGATCTGCATACATTCTTCGCCGATACATCACACAGTCCTAGACACTTGGGAAGTGTCCAACATGTGATCCAATACAACAGCCAGTAGAATGACCTTGTCTGCTGTGTACTAATCTTTTTGTGTTTCTAATGGAAGCAAATATTACAGCTGTATTTTTTGCCTTGCATTTTTGGTTACTTAAATGTCAGATGAAAGTTTGTCTATTTAATAAGAATAGTTTCTTCATTCCTATACTTCCTCTTGTGATTTTCTAGTTTGGACAAATCCTTTATCAGATAAGCCCCTGATTATAATTCCAGTCTTTAGAGGAAAATAAAGGCAGCAACTTTCATTCTGGAAATGCCATACCTCTGTTGGTCCGGCATACAGCATGGGAGAAGGGAAAATTGCGACAACTGTGGATTTTGGATCCAACACTTGCTCCTCCAGCACGGCAGCATGCTGCTTCATGCGCCAATCGAGGGGCACATCATCATCTTTGGTCCATCCGCCAAGAGGATGCAGGAGCAGCACGGGATACTTGTAGCCTCGTTCTAGAAGGCGGCGTTTGGTATCCTGCATCAGTAAGGCATGTCCATTGTGTACTGGATTGCGAAGCTGGAATGCAAATACTGCATCTGGAACGCAAGAAAAGAAGGGAATGCTGAATCAGGAACACACAAAACTAATAGTCGAAAAATATGTGATAAATGATTTGTAATACCAAGTTGGGCATACAACATACTTCTCAACTTGTGGGTCCCCAGGTATTTTGGCTTACAGCTCCCAGAAATCCCAGCCAGTTTACTAGCTGTTAGGATTTCTGGGAGTGGAAAGCCAAAACTGTTGTTAGCAGCCTGTTCAGTCTGTGATTATGTCTGATGTTCATGATGGGAATGGGAATGATGTTCCTGATTGTGGGTCTGGATCTGTTGGCAATGGGGATGAGGGTTTGACTAGGCTTGAGTTAAGCTGTCTCAAGAAGATTCACAAGGCCACATTCTTGGGAAAGGCCCTTCACAGTCTTACTCAGAGCAACCGTCTAAAGATAATTTGTCAGGTGCAGAAGTTAATGAGAGTCAAAATAATGAGAGCATAAATAGAACACAAGGATTTTGTAAACCGAGACAGAGTGTTCAAAGGTAAAGACACTCAGTCCATTTACAGGAAAAGAGAGATAAGAAACCTTTACCTGGTGGTAAGGTCAAGAGAAATGTTTTCCTTTCAGTTTTGGGATCTGGAAAAGCTTTATACTGATTCATGGGAAAGAGTTGCTTCAGTCAGGTCAATGTTGGAATTTCATGATTTATTTATTTATTTATTTACAGTATTTATATTCCACCCATCTCAGGGCGGATTACAATGTACATATACATGGCAAACATTCAATGCCATAGACACACAACATATATAGACAGRCACAGAGGCAATTTAACGTTCCATGAAGGTATTCTAKCCACCAGTGGAGCTGTTGCTTCACCGTCCATTTGTGAAACTGATGAAGTACTTCCTCATTCTTTGCTGGAGATTTTTATGGCATCATAAATTAGTTAAATTAGCCTCCCCGCGTAAGCGGTACCTAAATTTCCTAGTTGACAGACGCAACTGTCTTTCAGACTGCAAAGGTCAACAGCAAGCTACACAATTTGGTCAGACACTTACTCCGACCCGGGCTAGCTTCGAACTCATGACCTTTCAGTCATTAGTGATCTTAATGCAGCTGACTCCCAGCCAGCTGCGCCACAATCCCAGTGCTGTGATGGTCTTGCTTTTAAGTGCTCCTAGTTTCATGTACCAAGTTTTTGCCAAGCTCCAGATTTGTGTACTGTATTTTTCCTGCTGCCTTGTTTCAATGATTCTTTTGCCTTGCTTCATGGATTTTTTTTGTACCTACTGATCTTCTTTTCCCTTGTACGATAAAAACCTCTGGAGACCCACAGGTTGAGAACCACTGTTCTATACAAACCTGCATCACAGCTCCCAGATATTTCAAAATATTGACTAAGGCTGATGAGAGTTGTAGTCTAACATAGGGACAGCCACTGTTGTGCATTCCTGAGCCATTAGATCAAGAATAGGTCTCTACAGTCACCTATGGACACACCACCAAGATCCTACACTTGAAAGGCAATCATATTCATCCGGAAGTGATAGCCTATGATGACGCAATAGCATTTACCCTGTGTCGAGAAACAAACATAAGCAATGGGATTTTGCATCAATATCATTACATTAAGGCCATTACACTGCACAAAGTTGAACACTTACCAGCATTCATTTCTCTGAACTTCTGCCGCAGCTCCAAGGGTGTCAAGCGGTACTGGTCCAGTCCATCATTCCATTTTATTCTCTCTAGCACATGGAGATCTCCACCAACCAACCAATCTCCACTTTCCATCACCATCTATGAAAGCACACCACCATGACTTAAAATAATATGAAACTTAAATGTAATTTTGGGATTGCAGTCTCTAAATAAAGCACAAGGAGGAAGCTTTATTCCTCTTAAGAGGGCATTGGACTACTTCTCCATTCCTGGCCACTGACTATGCCAATGGAAACTAGAGTGTAATATCTTAAAGATCACATTTTCCCCACCATGATCAAAAGTAAGGGGACAGACAGAATGATTCTTATTATTGGGATTCTGTAATTTCTGTCACTTGAACAACCCTGTTGTTGTTCATTCGTTCAGTCGTCTCCGACTCTTCGTGACCTCATGGACCAGCCCACGCCAGAGCTCCCTGTCGGCCGTCACCACCCCCAGCTCCTTCAAGGTCAGTCCAGTCACTTCAAGGATGCCATCCATCCATCTTGCCCTTGGTCGGCCCCTCATCCTTTTGCCTTCCACTTTCCCCAGCATAATTGTCTTCTCTAGGCTTTCCTGTCTCCTCATGATGTGGCCAAAGTACTTCAACTTTGTCTCTAGTATCTTTCCCTCCAGTGAGCAGTCGGCTTTATTTCCTGGAGGATGGACTGGTTGGATCTTCTCGCAGTCCAAGGCACTCTCAGAACTTTCCTCCAACACCACAGCTCCAAATGCATCTGTCTTCCTTCGCTCAGCCTTCCCTAAGGTCCAGCTCTCACATCCGTAGGTTACTACAGGGAATACCATGGCTTTGACTAGGCGGATCTTTGTTGCCAGTGTGATGTCTCTACTCTTTACTATTTTATCGAGATTGGACATTGCTCTCCTCCCAAGAAGTAAGTGTCTTCTGATTTCCTGGCCACATTCTGCATCTGCAGTAATCTTTGCACCTAGAAATATAAAGTCTGTCACGGCCTCCACATTTTCTCCCTCTATTTTCCAGTTGTCAATCATTCTTGTTGCCATAATCTTGGTTTTTTTGACGTTTAGCTGCAACCCGGCTTTTGCGCTTTCTTCTTTCACCTTGATTAGAAGGCTCCTCAGCTCCTCCTCGCTTTCGGCCATCAGAGTGGTGTCATCTGCATATCTGAGGTTGTTCATGTTTCTTCCAGCAATTTTCACCCCAGCTTTGCATTCATCCAGCCCCGCACATCGCATGATGTGTTCTGCATACAAGTTAAAAAGGTTGGGTGAGAGGATGCAGCCTTGCCGTACGCCTTTCCCAATCTTGAACCAGTCTGTTGTTCCGTGGTCAGTTCTTACTGTTGCTACTTGGTCCTTGTACAGATTCCTCAGGAGAGAACAACCCTATTAATCCCTATTTATTGGTACAAACATGGACATGGACACACGCTCCAATTAAGAGGAAAAAGAACAAAACGGGATATATTTATTCTGGGTTCACTTACTTTCACATGTGGGTGCTTTGCACATGTGGTCCCCCAAACACGTGCACAACGTTCTTCCTTCCTATGCTCAAAAAATTCTGGATTTCTGAGTATTGCCACCCTCCGCCCATTGTACTCCAAGGTAAATGCACTGCAACCTTCCAGTCGTTTCTTGTCTTCCGAAGATATTGGAAGTACGATGGGAATGCTCAGGTTAATAACACCATCTGTGGGGTTTTTTAAGAGAGAGAGAGAACAATGTCATATATTTCATTCTTTTTGAAATAATATATGAAAAAATGCAGTTGTGGGTAATCTGACAACAGTTTGAAAGAAGAAGATCCTCAACATCAGGTAACACAAATTGTGGTAGGCCTTCACTACTCATTGATTTTTGTCCATAGTTAAATTAATAGTTCGCACATCAGTCTAATGTTTTCCCATTTTAGATATATGCATATCAAAACAAAAACTGAAAAAGCAATAATAATAATAATAATAATAATAATAATAATAATAGTGTCCGACGTGTGGTCCAATACAACAGCCAGCAGAGTGTCTACTGTGGACTCATCTTGTTGTGTTTCAAGTAATAATAATAATAATAATAATAATAATAATAATAATAATCCCAGTGGTCATCAGCACACTGGGTGCCATGCCAAAAGATCTCGGCCAGCATTTGGAAACAATAAACATTGACAAAATCACGATCTGTCAACTGCAAAAGGCCACCCTACTTGGATCTGCGCGCATCATCGAAAATGCATCACACAGTCCTAGACGCTTGGGAAGTGTTTGACTTGTATTTTTGTGATACGAAATCCAGCATATAGATCTCGTTTGCTGTGACATACTGTGTTTTTGTGTCAGTAAAATAATAATAATAACAATAATAATAATAATAATAATAATAACAACAACAACAACAACTCTGGCACAAGCCAGTGAAGGTGGTCCCAGTGGTGATCGGAACACTGGGTGCAGTCCTAAAGACCTTGGCCTGCACTTAAACACAATCAGCGCTGACAAAATTACCATCTGCCAGCTGCAGAAGGCCACCTTACTGGGATCTGCAAGCATCATTCGCTGATACATCACACAGTCCTAGACACTTGGGAAGTGTCCGATATGTGATCCAATACAACAGCCAGCAGAGTGTCTGCTGTGGACTCATCTTGTTGTGTTTCAAATTAATAATAATAATAATAATAATAATAATAATAATAATAATAATAATATGAAATAGAAGAATATAAATGTAGATGCATCACAAAGCTATAGGTTAAAGGTACTCAAAGACAAAATGGAGAGGCGAGAGGTGTCTAACTGGGAAAATTTTCCCCAAATTGTGTGCTGCCTTTGGGAAGGTGCTTTGTTCAACCACACCTCTCTTTTACATATAGCTCAGCATCAGGGTCATGTGCTCCCATTTTTGGAAATCTTCCTGTGATGGTGAGGACACCAAGAACAGGGCCTTCAGAGACAACTGAAGTGTATAGTCAGGCACAGATAGCCAACACCTTTCAGGCTGGATCTACAATGCCCTACATCCCAGGATCTGATCCCAGATTATCTTCTTATCCCAGATTATTTGGCAGTGTAGACTCACATAATCCAAATCAGATAATCTGGGATCACATCCTGAGATATAGAAAAGTGTAGATCCAGCCTAAATTGTGCCAACTCCAATCCAGTCTACTAAACTGTTGGGTGGAGCAGCTTTCATCAGCGCCAGCCAATGTACCAAATCTTATACAATTAATACAACTGTATTACAATTCAACATATTTCCCGATAATAGCAGCTCTCCTTCTTAAAGAGCAATGTAACTATACAGAAATTTTTCTCTGCTATCAGCACACTTTGTTTAGTATTGTATAGTAGTTCAATAGTACGTTTATTTTAAAAATAGTACATTTAATAATAATAATAATAATAATAATAATAATAATAATGAGCCCCCGCTGGCGCAGTGAGTTAAACCCCTGTGCTGGCCGGACTGAAGACCGACAGGTCACAGGTTCGAATCCAGGGAGAGGTGGATGAGCTCCCTCTATCAGCTCCAGCTCCTCATGCGGGGACATGAGAGAAGCCTCCCACAAGGATGATAAAAACATCAAATCATCCAGGTGTCCAATTCTCTCATACCAGAAGCGACTTGCAGTTTCCCAAGTCACTCCTGACACGATTAATAATAATAATAATAATAATAATAATAATAATAATAATAATAGTAATACTTTATTTATACCCTACCACCATCTCTCCAATGGGACTCGGGGCGGCTTACATGAGGCCAAGCCCAACAATTACATCAAAGCAAATATACAACATAAAACAATACATTAATAAAATATTTTTAAAAAATTAAAAAATGATATAAGCAAGCAGTACAAAATAAAAAAAATGTATATAACTTCATACTACTAGTTGCTTGGCCCTAATACTTGGGTGCGTCCCCACATTGTTCAAACATTACTTTTAGAAAGCAAACACATACTCCTAGTACGTTTCTTTTCCCATACGAACCAAGTCAACTTACCCAGTTTTGTTAGTTGGCTTTAAAAAAAATCAACAACCTCTGCTTGTAAATATTATAGATCATTTTTGAAGTTTTCCATTCATAAATCACAATCAGTGCACAAATTAGAAACCAGGTGTGCTGTCAGTTTTTTCAACATGATGATTTTCAAAACAATTTCAAGTAATTTTTTAGTGAATTCTCCGATTATAATACCTTAAACTATCTTTAAAATTTTGATCATCTGATTATCTCGTCTATGGGTTGGATCCAAAGAAAAATAACTTCTCAAAACTGCTCCGGGCAGAAGCATCTAAAATCCCTTACATATGTGCAAAGCAAGAGTTAATGAGTGGGGCTCAAGTGGAAAAAGATTTCATGTCAATATACATGAATATAAACCTGAATATAATGTGTAAAGGGAATGTACAACTCCATATGCATGGTGTGTGCCTTAACACAACACACACACACACACATAGTGCTGCAGCATTAAAAAAATTGCTGAAAATATTTATCAGCCATTTACAAATATGGGCTCTTTACTGTCCAAAGGATATACTAATAGTGATGATATATGCATTTTAAGAAAGCAAAGGAAGCCTTATTGGTTCCAGTGTAAACATTTCCCCATAAACAGCAAAAAGACTCCAAGTAGCTGTGTTTTCCAAGGATTAGTCTAACCCAGTGGTTCCCAACCTGTGGTCTGTAGATCAACAGTGGTCTGTAAGAATTAAAATATGGTCAGTGGCCTCACCATTATTACTGTTGCAACAAGAGCGACTGGTATCACGAAACCCTCTTATAGTTTGTAAACTTATAGTGCCAAAATAACATGAGGGAGTGACCTGAGCTCATCCACAAATCACAGGGAAGGCTTTGGGGGCCATATCCGGCCTGTGGGCCATATGTTGTGCAGGCTTGCCATAGACCAGTGGTTCCCAACCTGTAGGCAGTGGACCACCAGTGGTTCCCAAGAATGAAAATATGGTCTGCAGCCTCACCATTACTACACTGTTGCCTCGAAACTACATGTCAACAAGAGCAACTGTCTTGTGAAACCCACTTACAGTGCTGAGGCAACAGGGATGTTGGGAGGACAGAGCCTGAAAGATTACTATTACCACATCAACTCTAGATTATTAAATATGGTTTTCTGTGGGTTAGCAGATGGTGACTACTGGATGATTATATGTTCTGTATCGGAAACTAGAGCTGATGTGGTCTATCCAATGCAATTTTCAGAATCAGCACCCCAAATAACCAAACCGAATCTAAAGCTGACCAAAAATTGATTCGTAACCCTTTTGGTACTAATGTGAAGAGTGGTCCCTGGTTAAAGTGGTCCCTCATAAAAAAAAAAGTCATGTCAACGACTTAAATCAAGAAATAGTTTTCTAAGATCTACAGAGACACTCGCTGGAATACCTCAGCAAGCGAGAGTCCAAAAGTGGCAGGCTCACACCTAGAACCTCAATCAATGGCTGATACCAAATGAAAGACTCGCCCCTGGGTACACAGAAAACTGGGTGACTTGGAAGGCGCTGGACTGCGCTCTGGCACCACAAGATGCAGAGCCAACCTTAAGAAATGGGGCTACAAAGTGGAATCCACGACATGCGAGTGTGGAGAAGAGCAAACTACAGACCACCTGCTGCAATGCAACCTGAGCCCTGCTACATGCACAATGGAGGACCTCCTTGCGGCTACACCAGAGGCACTCCAAGTGGCCAGATACTGGTCAAAGGACATTTAATCAACAACCAAGCTTGTTAACTTTGTGTTCTGTTTGTTTGTTTGTTAAAAAATGCAATGCAACTGTTTGGTCTGCTCCTGACACGACAAAGAAATAAATGAATGAATGAATGTTGGGAACCACTAGTCTATCCAAATATATTTTACATGTCTGCCATAAACCTTGCTTTGTAGTGGCAATTGCACTTGCACCCCAGCCATAAGGACTTGATTTGCACATATATAATGACTAAGTCCATCTAGAATAGACCAACTAAATCAATGAAAATGAGTAAGTCACCACTTATATAAGTTCCACTGATTCAGTGAGTTTTTTCTAGATGAGACTAACAACTTGATACAGACTCTGAATCCAGAGAAGGAAAGCAAAATAGTGCATGATCATGTAACAATGGAAGAATATTGCTGGATGTCAGCTCACTTTTCCTGCAAAATGCTTTTTCTATCCACCTGGAAGCAGTTCTTCTGTGAGTTTGAGAGATTTAAATCTCATGGAAGAGAAGCTTTGAATCCAAGCCAGTTTACAAATTCTCCAGACTTTAATTTACATTTTAATGTTATATTATATGGCGATGGCTCATCCATATCAAATCCATGCATGATCACGAACTTTTGAAAAGTAGCATATTCATACGAAGATTCAACCAGTTATATGTATTATTTTAACTCATCTAATCAGGCTCTTGTTCCCAAAGATCTTTCAAATACATCTCCATCTATCAATGGCATGGCCTTATCAGTGTTTTGTTTGTAAAGCCAATTGGGAATATTAACCTTCATGCAAGGCAAGGCTTTTTAGCCCACCTGGGTCATGTCTTCTTGCAGATCTACAATGCAGGCATTCTACAACATGGTCACCTACAAAACTGTAAACAACTCCCAATTCCAACCACTTGTCATGTACACATTTTTTCTATAGATAAAAAAACTGAGAAAAAAATTGTAGAAAATAAATTGATTTCTGTCACTGGGATACATTGTGATCTAGCTAATGGCATGAAAATAAATCTCCCATGCCAAAGACTAGCATTGTGTAAAGGGTGTTAAATTCTTTTTCATAAGGATTAATAACAGACTTTGTGCTAGAAAGGAATCTAGCACAACGAAAATCATTACTATTTGTAGTCCACAAGATCCAAAGTAGACTTCTTACCAAGGCAGTGATGGCAGCCCTTCAAGAGAAAAGGGACAATGTCAAGTGCCAGAAAGCAGGCTGCGGGCCCTTCTACATTGCCATATAATCCAGATTATCAAATCAGATAATCCACATTATCTGCTTTTGAACTGGATTATATGAGTCTACACTGTTACAGTAAGTAAGTCATAAAAGCATCAAGTATATGTGTGCGTTAAATAAAACCTTATACTATTGATGATTATGTGCAGCTGCTAATGTAGGTCAACTAGCAAGTTTGGATCACATCTGGTGGGGTATAACTGTATGGTTTTTAGAATACAGTTCAGCTTTTGTCTGAGAAGCCTTTGCTCAGGCATTTTGCTCAACTATTTCTACTGCTCTCTCATTTGGCGGAAGTTGAAGAAGCCTTCTTCTGTATTGCTTACAAAGACTATGTAAGTTCGTTGCACTGTTTGTAACATTGCAAGTTTATGTTTTAACTCTGCTGATAAGAGTAAAGTTTTTCTGTTTTTTTCCTCTTGCCTGGGTGCAATGTTGTTGTGTCTTCTGCATTGGACTTGACTGAAATACACTTAGAGCAACATACACTGTCATATAATCCAGTTCAAAGCGGATAATCTGGATTTTATATGTCAGTGTAGAAGGGGTCTACATTATATAGTTGCTGAGCTGTTCTAAGGCCAGTGGTTAGCAAACTATGCACGACCAATACTGAGAGCAAGCATGGATAGATGTGGGTACAAGCCTGATTCACAGAGATCATAAAAAGTTTATCTGTAATCTTCAATGTGAACAGAACTGAAGTGGATCTAGAGTTGATTCCACCACTCCAGCCATTAAGCACTAGAAGAGAAACCTGATATTATAAATGTTAACTGGTTGAATCATGAATATACTCAGACTGATTTCACTCTTTTGCATCAAAATTTCATTGCTGTGACACATTGTCTAACAAAAAAACTGCTGTATACATACCAAGCTCGGCTATATCAACTCTACCCCTTCCTGGCAAAATATAAAGACAATTATGAACCACACTTTAACTGACCCCTTACTCCATTTCCTCTGCGATGTTAACTTGATGTTGCATTCCTTAAACATTATTATTCTTTCATGATGGTATTCCCATGGAGTGATCTACATGTAGAAGAAGGTCCTTGTACATGCTCTAACATGGCTGTGAGTGTGCACTTCCATCAGCATCAAAATGAACCACTGAAACTGGATATAAGTGTCTTTTGATGCTATATTAGAAGTGTGTGAAATGGCAGAAATCTGATTCGTAATTCACTTCAAAATTCAGATGGCCTCCCATTTCAATTAGGAAAGATTCAGAAAGATCGGGGGCTTTCAATTCGTAATCTGAATTCCAAAGTTTCGTTATTATTTCGGTAAGATTCGTTCCATGAGCGGCAATTGGGAAATCTTCGAGGCTCGTTTCTCCGTCGTTTTTATGGCTATCAGAATGAAACTCGCCACACTTGTAGGTCATACAACCAGAAAAAGCAAGGTTTTCCCAATTTGTCACTGCAACAACCCAATAAGTAGGTAAAGCTGAAAGATCATACATATTATGTAACAAAAACCATGGTTAGAAAGAGATAATAATTTTTCAGAGAACTGAAGGAGGTATGAAAGAGGAATCACATTATACTTATTCCATCTTTATCTCTAGGAAATAGATTTTATATTTTTAAATTAAAAATATGTACAGCATCTTTTACATGAAACACTTGTTATAGAAATTGAGTATGAATACAGGAAAGTGGAAAGCCTTTTCAACCACAGTCAACCCTCCATATTTGTGGGCCTGACTTTTGCGGATTTGATTATTCACAGAATTGATTGAAACGTTCTAGGAATTGCCAGCTCTTCCAATATGACTATGAACTTCCTCTGGTCATGTAAGAGGACCTAGAGCAGTGGTTCTCACCCTGTGGATCCCCAGGGGTTTTGTCCTACAACGCTCAGAAATCCCAGCCAGTTTACCAGTTGTTATGATTTCTGGGAGTTGTAGGCCAAACATCTAGGGACCCACAGATTGAGAACCACTGACCTAGAGATTCCTAGAGAGAACACCACTGTGAGAACTTCTAGGTTCTCCAGTATAATTCTATGGCCAGATTCAATAGTTATTTCATACCTTCCTGGGATAACTCTAGGAATCTCTAGATCAGTGGTTCTCAACCTGTGGGACCCCAGATGTTTTAGCCTTCAACCCCCAGAAATCCTAACAGTTGGTAAACTAGTTGGGATTTCTGGGAGTTGTAAGCCAAAACACCTGGGGACTCACAAGTTGAGAACCACTGTTCTAGATCTTTCAACAGAACTCAATCCCCACCTACACTACCATATAAAATCCAGATTATCTGCTTTGATAATCTGGATTATATGGCAGTTTAGAAGGGACCTGGGAGTCTACTGTTTTTCTTTCAGACATGGTCTATCTTTGTATATAGAACCAGTAGCCTCAATAAGTTTGTATTTTCTACAGTATAGTACTACTGATTTGCAGGGCTGTGGCAGACGCTAAGGCAGTGGTCCTCAACCTGTGGGTCCCCTGATATTTTGACCTTCAACTTCCAGAAATCCTAACAGCTAGTAAACTGGCAGGGATTTCTGGGAGTTGTAGGCCAAAACACCTGGGGATATATAATATAGTTCAAAGCAGATAATGTGGACTATCTGCTTTGATAAATTGGATTATATAGCAGTGTAGATCCAGCCTCAATAGTATATTGTGACTGGAAGTCGGGTAATTTAATGATACATAGTTGTATACATGGTTTCAAACAACTGTGTTCTGGTCAGACATGTATTACCTATGTGTACTTTATTGTGACCAGCATACTTTTAAAATTTATTCTCAGCACTGATACGATTACATAATAACGTGATGAAATTGTGCTCCATTCATCTCAATATGTAGCTGTTCTATATGTATTTATTCAAAAGAATGTATTAAAGGGTACGGATAAGTAGACAAACTTTCTAAAGAGCCAGCAAATCATACCATCCAGCAAGGTCCCAAAATGGATAACTTGCAAGTATTCTTTCTCCCGCATAAAGCCTTTGAGTGGGGTGGCCCAGCCTTCACCCAGGACTTGAACCCACTGTAGATCCAGCTGGAAAAAGAAGAGAAGAGGGTGCATGAGAGATTTACAAAGGGGTTTCTTTGTCTTTCATTACAGCAAATTATAGTAAATTGTTTACTAATGAAATACCAGCAGTTGTTCCCAATTTTCTAAGCCTTATAACCACAAACACGCCCTTTAAATAAAACTACCGTATATTCCGGAATACAAGGCGACTGGGGATATAAGACAATATCCCCAACTTTTAAACACAAAATAGAGAGTTAGGGATATACTCGTTTTTAAGACAACTCCGCATTCCAGCCAGGTGGTTTCTTTCTCCTCTCGTCTACGCCTGCCGTGTGGTTGCCCCTGGGCTGCTTCCCGTGCCACCTCCGGATGGGCATCCCGTGCTGCTTAGGCCCTCTCCTTCTTCCTGGTGCCAGTCTCCTTCCTGGACCCACTCCGCCACCATCTCACCTCTGTCTCCCAGCCCCGCCAAGTCCCGTGAGAAGCGCCTCTTCTCCCATGAGACAATGCTTGGAAAAATAAACCACCATTGCTCAGGCTGCTCTCCTTCTTCCTGGCTAGGCCTCACGTTGTCTCGTGGGAGAAGAGGCGCTTCTCGTGAAGCTTGGCGGGGCTGGGAGGCAGAAGCATGATGGTGGCGGAATGGAGCCAGGAAGAAAGAGGAAAGCATGAGGAAGGAGAGCGGCCTGAGCAGTGTGGAAGGCCCTTCCGGGGGCAGCGTGGAAAGCAGCCCAGGGGTCTGGGCGCTAACAAGGGAGAGGCCTGGGCCTGAGTAAAGAAGGCAGCCAGGAAGGGAGGAAGGATGGGGAGGCCACCATGAGCCAAGGCAGCAGAGGAGAAGGAGAAGGCAGAGGAGGAGGGGAGCCCGAGGCCAAGGCCCTCCACACCAAGAGGCTCTACTGGTGAGGAGGAGGGAGAGCCCCCTAAGGGCTGCGTTGTGCCTGAGATGGGCTTTCTAAGGCATTCTGGGAGCTGTATTTTTTTATTATTATTATAATTTTATACCCTGTGTACTGGACAACCCCCAACTTTTTATAAGATTTTCCAGGCCTAAAAAGTTGTCTAGTACCCTGGGATAAACGGTAACTAGATTCAAATGCCTAAATCATTATTATGTACTCAGCTGCAAAATACTGCAACGTATTTATAACTAAAAAACACAACTGATCACAGCCATCTATTAGTCTATGGTGGAGGATTTAGAAATGCCTAGAAAAAACATTTATCTGTCCACCAAATATTTTGGACTCCAACTTTCCAATTCTTCACCATGGGCCAGGTTGACTGTGGTGTCTGGACCACCAATGTTCTAGAGTGTGATCTTCAATGAGACCTCTTCTACACTAACATATAAAATTCAGATTATCTTCTTTAAACTGGATGATCTGGTAGTGCAGACTAATATAATCCAGTTCAAAGTAGATAAAGTGGAGCTCACGTCCTTTTCAAAGAACTCTTCACGTAGTTGCAGCACTATGATTCTATTTTAAATGCCATGATTCTATCCAATGAAATACTAATATTTGTAGTTGAGAGAAGGACACTTAGAAAAAATTAGGACCCAGAGGGTGCCTCACCGGACGGCAAACCCCAGGACTTTATAGGATACAGTCACAGCCAATACAGCAGAACTGTGTTAGGAAAGAGACCTAAGATATGTCTAGTGATTACATTTACAAATATGAGCCAATAGATGGCAACATATGTCATCAGATACGTTTTGAAACATAGAGACATCATATTCAGGAAGGGGAGGTCACAAAGAATGTATGCAAAGAGATTATTCTGCTTCAGATCACTGTGACAAAGGTGTCTCACAGACAGGGAACTCTGACTTACTGAATCAAAAACCTTGGGAGACAATAAAACTATGATTATATAACCACAACACTGAAAAGCCTGCAACAACGGGGACGGCTAGTCTATATAAATAAAAATGTAATGTTCATTTGTAGGATTAACAAAACTCAAAAACCACTGGATGAATTGACACCAAATTTGGACACAAGACACCTAACAACCCAATGTATGTCCTTCATTCAAATGTTTTTTGATTTTGTCATTTGGGAGTTGTAGTTGCTGGGATTTATAGTTCACCTACAATCAAAGAACATTCTGAACCCCACCAATGATGTAATTGAACCAAACTTGACACGAAGAACTCCCATGACCAATAGAAAATACTGAAAGGGTTTGGTGGGCAGCGTCCTTTGCTTTTGGAGTTGTACTTCACCTATATCAAGAAATCACTGTGGACTCAAACAATGATGGATCTGGACCAAACTCAACACGAATACTCAATATGCCCAAATGTGAACACTGGTGGAGTTTGGGGAAAATAGAATCTTGACATTTGGGAGTTGTAGTTGCTGGGATTTGTAGTTCACCTAAATCACAGAGCATTCTGAACCTCACCAACCATAGAATTGGGCCAAACCTCCCACACAGAACCTCCATGACCACCAGAGTGGGCCACAGCAACGCGTGGCAGGCTAGTAAATAAATAAATGTTAGAGGGTGTTAAAAACCTGATTCCCCAATAATGTGTTGATAACTACACATGAGACAGAGGGATATGGGCCAAACCTAAAATAAAGCCCTGCATTCAATTGTTAGTCTCAACTAACAAGAACAGACCAATTGAATGACTGGTATTCACATCACACTTGACTAACCAAGTTCACATTCATTTGGTAAGTCTAGTCCAGTTAGGACTAGCCAATGGAATTAGGCCAGAACTATTTCTATATTGTACTCTCCCATCTCGTACCTGACAAAAGAACCTGCCCCACCAAATGCATTAATCTTTAAGATGCCAAGGAGCTCTTTTATGTATTTGTTTACCACATTTACTAACCGCCTTCTAATAGGTGTTCAAGGTGAAGTTATAATAGGTTCACGTAATTAAACTTTTAGAGGTCACTTTGAAATGCAATAAAATGGGGGCTATTAAAAACCCTGATCTTGTTAAAAGAAGCCAGTAAAAGTCCAGTCTGGGGACACGTTTTTAAAAGAAGTCATTCCAAGGTAAAAGCGAGTTCAGAAAAAGTCTCCCAATATGTAATGAGAGAATAAGTAATAATAAATAGAATGAGAACTTGCTCCCTTTAGTTAATAGATATTCTCAAATCTGTCACTTGAGTCAGGCTGTTTCGCTTCTCTAGTTCTGTGTCTTCTTCAGCCTGTGTCTTTTAGACACCTACGTAGACACTTCTGAAAAGTGAAAGAAAAGCAGAAGAGCCAACTTTTTTTAAAAAAATAGTTTTATTTCAAAAGTTTGATACTGTTTTATTATCTGGATGGAGGCCACTGGGGGTGCTAGAGAGAGAAGGATAGTCCATTTTATGCGGGGTGGAAGGTGGGTGAAGGAGTAAAACCATTTCCCCCTGTTTTTCTGTTATTCCCCCATCCATGTCCCCAAACAATCTATGCACTTTATTGACTACTAGCCTATTTTCTAACATGTTTGCACACCATCACCACCACCCTCTTGCAAAATGAGACTTGAAGTATATTTCTGGTTGTTGCTTATGATGCTTGCCTTACTATTGTTATAATGTTGTTTTATGTTGTTTTCATATTTTATATGCTATGTTTTTAACTTAATGTGATTGGGCTTGGCCCCATGTAAGCCGCCCTGAGTCCCTTCAGGGAGATGTAGGCGAAGTATAAAAATAAAAGTTATTTTTGTTTTTTTGTTTTTTTGTTGTGTTAGGAGCAGTCATCTCTGGTGTGAGAGAATTGGCCGTCTGCAAGGACGTTGCCCAGGGGACGCCCAGATGATTTTTGATGTTTTTATCATCCTTGTGGGAGGCTTCTCTCATGTCCCCGCATGAGGAAGGAGCTCACCCGCCTCTCCCTGGATTTGAACCTGCGACCTGTCGGTCTTCAGTCCTGCCAGCACAGGGGTTTAACCCATTATTATTATCATGGAAGCAACCCTTGTTTATGATAAGGGAAGTGAGGAGAATAACCACCAGTGTAAAAGGGGGCAAGGGTTTTCTTCCTTTAAACTCACCCCTGTAAAATGGACTATCCTTCTCTCTAATGCCCCCTAGTGGCCTCCACCCAGAGAATGGAACAGTCCCTAATGTTTCAAAAGTTGCATTTAAAGTCAAAAAAAGGAAAGAAATCTAGAGTATAAACACAAAAAATGCCAAGAAAGAAGAAAAGAAAAAGTAGATGATCTCCAATCTATCCTGGGAAAGAAAATAACATAAGCTTCGCTCCCTATGCCTCCCAATGTTAATTCCTTTCTCAAACAACCTCCCCACCCCCAAATTATTCTTCAAAACTCAAAACTGGAAAGTCTTTCTCTTTCTGGGAGCCCTAGTGGCACAGTGAGTTAAACTGCTGAGATGCTGAACTTGTCACAAGGAGCTTGACAATTGCTGGAAACCATGTCAGCTCAAGCAGAAATCTAAGAAAGACCCTATGCATATGTGAAAGATCACGTTTGATTTGTACCCCGCCTCCCCAGAAGCAATACTAGTGTTTTCTCCTCTCCACAGGATAACCTTAGACTTATCCATGGATCAAGAGCCCCCTGGTGGTGCAGCATGTTAAACAGCTAAGCTGCTGAACTTGCTGACAAAAGGTTGGTGGTTTGAATCCGGGGAGCGGGGTGAGCTCGCTGTTAGCCCCAGCTTCTTCCAACCTAGCTGTTCGAAAACATGCAAATGTGAATAGATCAATAGGTACTGCTTTGGCAGGAAAGTAACGGCACTCTATGCAGTCATGCTGGCCACATGACATTGGAGGTGTCTACAGACAATGCTGACTCTTTGGCTTAGAAATGGACATGAGAACCACTCCCCAGAATCGGACTCAACTAGAAGAGCAGGTAAAGGGGAAACCTTTACCTGCTCTTCCTCATGCAAAAAGTGAACAAAAGGTTTCCAGTCTTATGTTTTGTTTTCAATTTGGGCAACTCTTTAAGATCTAACAAATGCATACAGACAATGCACCACACCCCAGATGGCTACAATGCCCCTGGAGGACACAAAACAACCGTGAATCGCACTTTCACCACCCCATACCAATGAGTCCCATCATTAAGGAGAATCTACTGCTTGTATGGTAGAAAACAAACCAATGGATTGAAAAGGAGAGATGAAAGATAGGAGAGAAGGTACGTATTTCTCCTTGCTTGATCTCCTACCTTGGTAATCTTTACAGAAGGCAGTGTATTGGCTTCAGCTCGAGCTTGTTCTATTTTATTTTCAGGCACAAATAGTTCAAGGACATCCTTGATGGCCGTTGGAGGAACAATGCTCTAGTCGAGTGAAGAAGAAGGAGAGATAAAGGGAGACGTTAATGGTTAAAAAAAGTAAACAAGGCCTTCACAATTTTCAAGGAAAACAACTGATAGTCCTATGACACTTCGAAGACTAGGAAGTAAACAGAAATGGGAGCTTTTGTGTCTTATGGCCTATGTCAAAGGTGAAACAGAATCATTTGTTGGTTTTGCTACCAAACTATAAAATGTGTACCTCTCTGGCAACTGTTAATATTTTTCTAGGCCCAGTGAAATATTCAAGGAAAAAGAAAGTACCTGCTCTTGCAAGAGCTGCACAATGGTGAGGATGCATTCAGTCACCGAAAATAAGTTGGTTTTCAAAACAAGTTCAGGTGCTTCTGGTTTCTCATAGTCTGAGTCAATTCCAGTAAATCCTAGTTTAATTAAAGCAAGAATGTGAACATAAAACGGTGAAAAGAGCAAAACTATGTGTTAACTTTCAAGACATCCATGCTTTGCAGTGGCTTTCATACCTTGTTTTCCAACTATTGAAGACTTCCTATCAACCTATTGATAAATAGCACATTTTTTTGCTTCTCCATCAGCAATATCATGGTGCTTCTATTTTTCAATTGTTTTAATAGTATGATTGATTCCATTTGCATTTGATCGTGTATGATTCAGCACATTTTTAGTGGAACTTTTAAAATTAAATAGGAAACTGTCAGGAATCCCAAATGTGGAGGGAAAGGTGGGATATAAATTAATCAATACATTTTCCCCTTGCACAGCACATCTATATATTGCATTTTCTCTAATACACTTCATAGAATCATAGAATCATAGAATCAAAGGGTTGGAAGAGACCTCATGGGCCATCCAGTCCAACTCCCTGCCAAGAAGCAGGAATATTGCATTCAAATCACCCCTGACAGATGGCCATCCAGCCTCTGTTTAAAAGCTTCCAAAGAAGGAGCCTCCACCACACTCCGGGGCAGAGAGTTCTACTGCTGAATGGCTCTCACAGTCAGGAAGTTCTTTCCAATGTTCAGATGGAATCTCCTTTCTTGTAGTTTGAAGCCATTGTTTCGTTTCCTAGTCTCCAGGGAAGCAGAAAACAAGCTTGCTCCCTCCTCCCTGTGGCTTCCTCTCACATATTTATACATGGCTATCATATCTCCTCTCAGCCTTTTCTTCTTCAGGCTAAACATGCCCCACTCCTTAAGCCGCTCCTCATAGGGCTTGTTCTCCAGACCCTGATTCTTTTTTTGCGGACTTACTGTTTTGCGGTTTTCCTTCCTTACTGCTCACCGGGCCGAGTGAGCAGAACCAGGACTCGGCCCGGTGAGTAACAAGCGAGCAAGGGAGGACAGATGAGCAAGTGAGGGAAGGCCGCAAAACAGAAGCCTGGAAGAGGTAGCCAGGCTCCTACTTCTGTTGCCACTGCTGCCCTTGCCACCCTCGCTTGCTAACTCACCCACCCTCCCTTGTTTGTTCACTCACTGGGCCGGGCCCTGGCAGCCCGGTGAGTAGCAAGCGAAGGGGGGGGGGTGAGCGAGGAGGAAGACTGGCAAAGGCAGCAGCAGCTGCAAAAGCAGGAGCCTGGCTGCCTCTTCCAGGCTCCAGCTTCTGCCACCGCTGCTGCTTCCCCTCGCTCGCTCACTCACCAGGATGGATTGGAATGGCATAACCAGGACTCAGTCCAGTGAGTGAGCGAGCGATGGAGGAAAGGGAGTGGGAGTGAGCGAGGGAGGGCAAAGGTAGTGGCAAATAATACAGAGTGTCAGATAAGCGGAAGTCGGATAACCAGGGCTCTACTGCATATAGCTTCCCTACTTTGCAGATTTTCACTTTTCGCGGGTGGTCCTCGAACATAACACCCAAAATATGGAGCCCCTGGTGGCACAGTGGGTTAAACCCCTGTGCCGGCAGGACTGAAGACCAACAGGT